ACTGACACCAGAACCAATCCCCTTAAGAGGAACCTGTCAGAACCCAGTGAGGACGTGAGAAACTGTAAGCAGTTCTTCTGCTACAGGAGCATCAGTGCACCAAACACCGTGCTTTCTTCCCCTCAGAGAGAACCCATAAACCTGCATTACAGAGGCAGTCACGTCGCCAGAACGTATAGTTATGACTTCAGTGACACCGTTCCTGAAGAGCCTATTGATTTAAGCTGTGGTCCAACCAAAACGCTAAAACAGTTTCCTACCGGGGGGAAGATTTCAGAAAGCTCAGTGCAAGTGGAGAAAACAAATTTGAAACCGTTTGTGGGTAACGTTATTATCACAGACATCACTACGAATTGCTTAACTGTGACGTTTAAGGAGTACGTACAAGGAGAATGACAACAGTACGTTGGACTGAACCAGCTCAAATGCACTGATCATAGCCATTCCTGAAGATATATTTACACATTTATTTAAACACATAATCCATGTATAGAAACACCATATATATGTAGGGTTTGTTTGTTTAGATACAGGTTGTATGTTTTTTAACACATTAAATTGTGACATTTTCGCAGCTGTTGAAATAGAATTTAAAATCCCATACCTGTATAGTGTGTAAAATTGTTTATAAAACTTTGGATAATGGATTTTGCTACCTGAGAAAATATCTGCCGATTGGAGTAAGCAAGCACACTGGTGGATTTGGAGGAATTCATTGAAGATTGATGTTAAATGCACTTACTTACACCTTTCTATGTTCATGTCCATTGTGGACCATTTTTTTTTCTTCCTTCCAATGTTGAGGATTTGAAAATGTTTTCAGATAATTGAGATCTATACATTTTGAGTTGCTTGGAAAGGTGTCATCATAATGTACACGAATGTACCTTAAAAAAGTATTTTTGGATATTAGCGTTACTGATTTTGTTTCGCTGAAACATTTTACTTGACTGGATTTCCAGATGCTGTTGGCCTGTGAGGTCTAACCGTGCAATGCTAGAAAAAACAACTGGATTGTTTGTTGTTCCCTATCCGTAAGACGTTTAAGCTGCACTTTATCATCTCCTGGATCTCTTTTGGTAATTAATTCAATAATAATAATAAATCCTTAATGCAGATCAATTCTGTAACAGCAGTATAACTATGGCCAGAGATCATCAGAACATGCAAACTGTTACATATGACCAGAAAGTAAATGTAAGATTGATGCTTACGTTGGACAGTGTAGCGCTGTAGATTTTGTATGTACTGGAATCAATTTACAGTCAATGCAATGTACGCAACACAGTCCATAATGTACAAATTACACAATAATGCCATCAAGGTTCAGGCCATTTATATGCATAACGGCATGTTTTATGCACACATTGAAGAGTCAGTTTGAAAATGCTTCCCAAATCAATATTAACTCTGTTAAATAATAAAAACGAATTATTTGTTTTATGATGTGTCATTCTGTGTTCATTTTTTTAATAATGATTTTTATTAGGTCATATTGACTGCATAGACTTCAAGAAAAATAATTTTCATTTTTGTTAATATGTTATGCGCTACGTCCGAAACCGAATCCTTCCCTATCCCTACAATAGCATGTGCAAAACTACACCAACAGAGTATGTCCATTGTCCGAAAACATAGGAAACCAGTAGGCAAAAGAGAGTTAGGATGGACACTTTTTTTAATCTCATGAGGCCACGGGTGAAGATTTATGAATGACAGTGAAGTGATACTGACGAAGGTAGGTCACGTGATAGTAACAACATGGTGGATGTAGTACGTCCAGATTACATGCATACTGCCACCCATATTCATGCTATATAGAATGTACCAAAATGGATGTTGTAACATACCGTTTTAGTGGTCGTGAAATAAACTCAAATTTAAATCTATGGCTTCCTCGGTGTGCGATAAATTAGGAGGCTCTAATAAATTAGAATTTGTCTTCCTTTGCCCCAACCTTGCATTATACCACATGCTTTTATGTTGACACTGTTTTTTTTTTTTGTTTTGTTTTTTTGGTTGAATATTACAGGGTCTAATAAGATTTCCAGAGCTGTGGAAAAATTAATGAAATTTTGCAATGCTGCCTCCTAGGTGCAGTGCCATGCTCATAAAGTATTTCCCAGCAGCGCCATCTTGAATTTTTAACGAGAATGAATCAAGCAAGGTCGTGAGTGATATCAGAGACTATGGTGAAATGCATGCATCTCTTCAGTGGGTTGTACCGATATTTAATGTGTTTTTGGATTGTTCAGCTAACGAACCACTGCAAAAATGGGCTTCAATAAAATTTAGTTGACAAAAAACTCCAGCCAACACAAGGTGTGGAAAATTAGCTAATATGCTAAGTGGGTAGCGCACCATTAAAAACACTCTCACAGCCTCGCTTTCATACCTTCCATGGCGCTGCAGGGAATAAGGTCTACAAAACCAGAAAACCACCGTACCAGTTTCTTTCTGCAGCCTGATAGGTTCGTTTAGGCCTAAATAATTAATGGAAAGTTAATTGATTACTAGAAATTGAGCGATCTAAAATATATATGCCATCTTTGACAAATGTCAAATACATCCTATGGATGACAAATAAATCATAGCCTAGCCTACTGCATAAAAAAAAAAGAATAGATCATCTTTAAATGTGATATTAACAGGAAAAGTGGAACCATGGGGCCCATTGTTATAGGCTACGGTATTGTCCTCTTGTGAGTTATAGATGATTTTCGCGTACATATTATACGCACTTTTTTGCGTATAATACACACGAACTCCCCACCCCCCTCCCCCCTAAACCTAACCCAGGGTTTTTTAGTGCGTACCATATACACGAAAAAAACACTTTTGGCGTATAAATGCCACGAGAAATGACACTCGTGGTATAGATACGCATCTTCATGAGACTGTGTTGCATAATCTGCCCCAAAATTCTGTTCCAATAGATAATGCATTGAGAGAAAGGGGGTGTAGGCTAGTGTAGGCTATTCTGCTTTACTTGACATGACGCATTCTATTCTATTCTATTCTATTCTATTCTATTCTATTCTATTCTATTCTATTCTAGGCCTTGTCAAATGTTTTTCGACAAACATCAAATGTGTGGCAAAGTAAAATCTATGCAAAAAGCAACAAAATATAGGCTAGCGTACTAATTAAATGGCGAATTAAAATAATTTTCCTCCGAACCTCGCTCTTTGATGAGATTTAATTTATTAGGCTATAAAATACAAATATGTATTAAAATATATCACAGATACTTATATTTAAAAAAAAAAATTCAGGGCTGAACTGTTTAAGATCTGGAAATAACCACAACGCAAGCAATAACGCTTTAATTTAGCTATTCCAGTTTCGCTGTTTATTTTTCGTGTATAGGCCTATTGATGAAATCCAGTTATTTGCCGTTTTATTTAGCCTATAAATCTGAATGTTTGTATCACGGTAAAAAAAAATAAGCTATTTTACCATTCAATTTCATCTGATTGTCTCTTTTAACCTGAATTTAGAACATTTTTGTCGTTGTTGTCATTACAACGAATAGCAGAATATTTTTGTTTTTTCGATAAAAAACCTTTTAAAAAGTCGTTTTAAAAAATCGAATTGATGGTGTGATTTATTAGGGCTATTTTAATGCGTATCCTAATAGCTAAATAATAATAATATGAGAGGATGTTTTTTTCCAATTCACTTGAATTTGTCGAATCGAAACAAATAAAAGAAAAACATGGAGAAAACGGAAAACAACATACTTTTCTAAGTTTATTATCCGTTGCATCGAAAGAATCGGAAAAAAATCGAATGAATCTTTAAAATCAATAAAAGATTAGCTAGTTGGAGTTATCAGATATATCGCATATCATTTCTACTGTAACAGTGAATAATTAGACGAAAAAATGTCACGTGTGTAAAATATAATTTCACATTTTTATAAAGAAAAACATAGGCTATTGAAAGTTTTTTAATGGCTTGATAGTCAAACGAATGGATTAAAATAAAACCACTAGGCCTATTGTTTGTCCGAAACAGTCAAATTTATTGTTTTAAAATAATTATAATTATTTACAATTATTTTATTAGAAAGAAAGAAAGAAAGAAAAGAAAGAAAGAAAGAAAGAAAGAAAGAAAGAAATTTCAAATTCGACTGAAACCAAGCTTTATAGCATGGTTTTAAAAGCAGCTTTACAATCTTAAAATCGTTTAATAAGGGTGAGAGCCCTGTGGTTTATTGCTTAGTTTTTTTTGTTTGTTTGTTTGTTTTTTGTTTGTTTTTAATATTAAATTAGCAAACTAATATTAACAACTAATATTAGCAAAATTAGGCTACCTACTGCAGGCTGCCAGCAACCCGAATATATGGACAAAATGCTATATTTTCGGAGCGCGCGGGTAAAATATCGATACGCCGCAGCACGCTGCATGTTATGCATTTACTTTTGTTCTATTTTTTATTTCGTTATTTGAATTGTTTTTAAACGTTTTTTAAACTGTTATTTGACAGGGTGTGGCATGACATGGCGGGGAATATGGAGCACAGATTCGGTGAACCTTTTTGAGTTTCATCCGTGTGTGTTGAAAATGAAGAATGAGCAATGAAGAATGAGCCTGCGCATGTGCAGATTTCGGTCCTATTAAATAAATAAAAAATAGCCTAAATAAAACTCAATTTGTTTTGACATCGCAAACAAGAAACCTGCCGGGTAACGTTATCTAAAAACGCCCTTTCGGGTAAATAATTATGGGTAAATATGCGACAAATGTGGGACTTATCAAAAAGCCCTGACTGCGGCTTCGTCTAGACTAGTCTAGACTAGTATACGAAATAAACACGACGTATTTGCGTTCAAAACAACACTCATAAAATGACATTTTACCCGTGCTCGCCTCGTCCTCTATTCTTGTGAGCTCCACGATCACAAGACTCCTCCTCCCCGAGCGGCAGCTCCACTCACACAGCAGAGCCGTCCTGCAGTGCCATGGTAACAGTTTAGAACGTGATGACGTCTCTTCGTTTGAGTATTATGGGCTATCGAGGATTATTCAGGCTGAGGCGAGAAAAATAGCTGCGAGGTTGAAGTAAACATGGAGCTCTCAGCCGTCGGTGAGCGGGTCTTCGCCGCCGAATCCATCATTAAACGGCGCATAAGGAGGGTAAGTGTCATACCAGCCTGCTCGTCGGGGGTTCGGCTCTGTTATAGAGGCGCCTGGTTATTTGCTTCTGCCCGCCGAAGTGACATTTTATACGCGATGGGTTAGCTTAGCAGCGTTAGCTTGCTAATTTGAATCTCCCTGTGCTTTTACCCGCAGGGCCGGATGGAGTATCTGGTCAAATGGAAAGGCTGGTCTCAAAAGTGAGTGGTAATGACACGTTAACGGTGGTTGTTGTAACGGGGGGAGCGGTTTCAGGCTCCCCGAGCTCGCTGAGTGTTAGCACGGCTGCAGCACAGACTGCGTAACGGGGCTCATGAGAACGTTAGCTGACAAGGCCAGTGATGGGAGACAGTCAAGATTCAAGCTTTATTGGCTGGTTAAAATGGTTCATATTGGGGAAATCACGCATAACATACGTATATGTTTGTGGGTTTATATATTATATACGTTTATATATGAACCAAGAAATATTATGCATGCACCGTAAATAAAATCAACTGAAGTGATAAAAAATGCACTGATTAGTAATAAATGTGTTTAAAAATGCACTTTGAATTGTGTTTTGGTCGTTATGATTTGCGAATAATTAAACATTCAATTATTGGTGCAGATACAGCACCTGGGAACCAGAGGAGAATATTTTGGATGAGCGTCTTTTCGCTGCTTTTGAAGAAAGGTAATTCACCCCGTTAATTCTGCAATTCATGTAGACAAGACAAATCAAATAATTTGGATGTTTTAAAATAGCATTTCTCTGATTTCTTATTTCAGAGAGCGTGAAAGGGAGATGTTTGGGCCAAAAAAGAGGGGACCCAAACCAGAAACATTTTTAATGAAGGTGATTTTTTCACCCTAAATTTTCTTTGAATATCTTTTTCTTTTTTCTTGGCTTTCTGTTGAATGAAGTCTATAACTTTTTAATGTTATTGAAATTTTTTGAAATGTTGTGCATACATTATTATGTTTGACATTTTTTATAGGCAAAAGCTAAAGAAAAAGGAAAAAACTATGAGTTCAGACGAGAGATGTCTCGAGGAATACAAGTGTCTTTCCCGGTAGCAGAACCGGTTGTGACTCCCAGAGCCCGTGAGGGATTGCGAACGGTTGTGCCAACTATTTTCCCACCGAGCACCGTCAACAGAGGCGAAAGTGTTCGTGTGCATTCACCAGAACCTGAGAGAGACCCACTGACGCACGGGACGCCATTTCACCGCCCGCTGGATTTTGCCAGCTCACCAAAAAAGCGAGGACCAAAGCCAAAGTTGCGTCCAACTGGAGGTTCATCCAATGAGGGCGTTAAAAGAAAGGCAGACGAATCGCTATCTTATCAGCCTTCAAAAACCGAGAGATCAGGAGCGACCTCTAACTGTGATGCCATCCGTTTAACCCAGAAGTTCCCAGCAGAATCCAGCCTCGTTCAGAAGCAGATGGGAAGCAGGTCGAGTGATGTAAAATTTACACATGGTGGGACCATCTTAAAAGCTGGGCTTGGTGTTTTGGGACATCGACAAAAGGAAAGCTCAAGTGGTGCCATAAACCAACAACCCAAGATGAAGCATCCTCCCAAAAACAATGTATTTGAATCCACCGATCAAACCAGAGAGCAACTGTCTCTGAGTTTTGTAGATGAAACAGACCAGTCCTGGTTGCCTTGTCTGAAGAATATGGAGAAAATTGTTGTTACTGACGTAACAAGTAACTCCTTGACTGTAACCATAAAAGAGAGTTCAACGGACAAAGGTTTCTTCAAAGAAAACAGATGATGTGATTTTAGTGTATGTGTGTATGTATGAAATATTGTAATCAACCTAGAAACGACCCACATTTCTATATCATTTGTAGTCTATAAATGTAAAGTCTTGAAATCATGTACATAATGCAAAAAACAAACAAACAAACAAAAAAACAATATATATAGAGAGAGTCTATCTTTAGCCTACATTTCCATTGACATTTTCTATGAAAATGCTTAAGCTTATTTTTCTATTTCCTAAATTTGATGTAAGGTACACCAGTTTATTTCTTTTTTGGTTGCCTTCTTCAGCTTTATTATGAATTTAGGCATAGACGCTTTTAACATATTAACGTTTCAACTTAATGCACCTTTTTAAGGGACGCGTGGTTTAGTCCCTCTTTTATGAACTTGGTATTATTTTCTGGTTAGGTTTTGTATATATTTTAAGGTCCAAAAAGTAAAGCACACCATTTAAAAAAGAGAGAAGGGAAATAAGCTATAAATTAAGCAAATTTAGGCCTAAATATTTAAGACACAATAATTCAGACTTTAGAATCGTATTTCGTTGTTTTTCTGTTGAATATATAATTGACGTGGCTGTTCTGTGTCTTTATATTTCATTATAATGCTGTTTTTAGGCCCCTCAGAAACGAAAGATTGTTTGATTGGTACAAATCATTTCTTAACTGCTCTAGTAAGCTCACAGCCTGGTTTAAGTGGTGAAATTAAAAATAAATATGTATTACAATTATATGGTGTAAACTTGTTTAACGGTTTAGTTCAGCCTTTTTGCAGAGAGGACAATGTGTATCGGAGCTCAAACTCGAAAATAAAAATGTAATTTAGCTGTGTCTAGAGCCTCTTCCATTATTGATTTTTAACATTTCTCGCGCACAGTTATCCGTGTAGTCCGTTTTTATCTTGCCTTTTATTAATTTAATTAACTAACACATATTGTTATAAAAACGGAAAGCTCTTTACGTTGGGGTTTTCGTTACATCCGTGTTTGTAAAGAAAATAGTGAACAAATAAATAGCTTAAACAGCAGTCGGCCTATCACGACATGATTAGATCATATATTTACCGAAAGCCTCGTGCGCTTTTAATAACTTTCAAAAACATGAAACGTTGGGTGTGAAAAAAAAAAAAACACTGGCGACTAGTCAACACTTTTGTTCATTCGTCGTAAGCTTACATTACCTATTCTGAAACTCCGTGTCAGCCTTATTTCAATCAGGCTATATTATAATTGATGTTATCATAAACAATACTAGTTTAGCCTATCTGTTTTATTTAAGGGATTTATTATTAAGAATAAAATGTCACCGCGCTGCCGCACGAGTGTCGCGTTAACGAAAGAAAAGAAAAAAAACGTTTGCAAGGCAACAACCGTATAGACTAACTTCTGGATTTATTTGTAAAGATCTGAAGAAGGCATATAATTTATTGGTAATGTCAGACAACAACGTCATTATCAGACATTATCAGTAGGCCAATATTTTCAATAATGTCACACAAAAAAATTACAAACGCTAAAACGGATTTAATTAGCGCGATCATTTTAAATTGAATCGATCAGCGCTTTAGAAAATTCAGTCCACCAAAAGCCACAAGGTGTCGCCATGAATGAACTTGATACAGTTGATATTCCTCTCATAACGCGTGTATCGCCGACATTGTGATTTTTGCGTCAGAATTAAATGTTTAAGAATACACTGATGTATACTGTCAGATGTTCAATAAATGTGTCAAATGTCGCCGTGTTTGTAGGCCTACTGTGTATTTCCATTGGTTTAATTTTGTACTGTCAGTGTTTTGTGTTTTATAGTTCAAATGTAAAAAATAAACGCTTATGTGGCATGAGGATTCAACACTCATTATAGCCTAACTCTGGAATAAATGTTAAAGTATGCTATAGGCCTAATTCGAATGTTTTGAGTTTGTAAATGAACATTTGGCTAGGCCATCTTGTTTTGTTTGATAAAGAAAAAAAGCTGTGATGGTTTTTTTCTACTGCAATGAATAACTTAATATCTTTGCACTTTACGGCCCTGCCTGAAATTGATTTTTCTTACATCTTGCAGTAACAATCAGACAATTAAGTCGCCTCTATTGTCGAGGATTATAAAATCCCATATTCCGCCAAATCAGAAATTCGGGGTAATAATATTAAGATTGGCTATATATGTCGGTATTTAGTTTTTTCGACCATGTTTATAAGTTGTATTGCAAGGTCCTTAGGCGATCGCAGAGCGCAAATAATGTGCGCGCACTCGTCTGATACTCGTTTTCTTACACTTATTAAAGTTTTTAATATGAAATTCAATATATATTATTATTATTAATAAAATGTTATAAATGTAAGCTGACCTTATATAGATTATACATATCTATTTATATTTGAATATATTTATTTATTTAATTAATTTATTTAATATTTTGAAACTGGTCTTGCATTAGGCCTATCTGACTTACTGACATGCATATACTCCATTTACTGCATTTACATCTTATTTTGTAGGAATGTTAGTCCACATGCCCAACTCATTTACTCAGATGACTAACCTAACTAACTAACAGACATAAATTGCGGGGTCATCACCTTTGACATGGTGCTTTGAAAGATTCCCAAAATGTGTTCATGTATAACCTCTGTTAAATTCACCACGTTAACAGGCTCAAACACGTACCACCACTTTGGCTATTGTATAAATGCATTGGACTTGTTTTTATTTAGTAATAACCTTTTGAGCTCTCCAAATATGTGAAATCTGTGAGAGACATTTGTGTTGAAGAGTTTCATTTAATTATCTATAGGCTACTGATTATTTTCAACACATGGAAAAGCATAAAAATAATGTGCATGTTTGAACATAAAGTGTGTAGGTCTAAATCAAAATTGATTTATGTTAGAATTAACACTGCACATACATTTTCAATTAAAAAAAATCCCAATTTAAAATGTAAAATTCACAATATTAATAGCCTACCTGAGCATCCTTTCCATATCTATTTTTTAGCAGGTTTTAATAAATTGCTATTAGGCCTATATCTAAATAAATGTGAATTAAAAATTAGTTACATTCTTGTGTACATAAAAGAGTAGAATTATAGGGACACTCCACCGTTTTTTTCATATTAAACTATGTTATTCCAACACGAGTACATACCTCTATCGTCTCAATCGCTCTGGCGCGCGACACTTTTATCGCACTTAACTAGCCCAGTTCATTCAATATGGGCCAAGCAGAGGAGCGACCAAACACTTCCACGTTTTCCCTATTTAAATACAGTTACACGAGTAGAGTAATTGGACCGAGAATGGTGACACAAAATAAAACGTTGCAGTTTTCTAGCGTGTAAAGTGGACAATTATAATGAATGGCGCGGAATACCACTACAAGTGCTTGGGAGCACTTCGACTCGGCGCATATAGACTCGGCGCAGTAATATCATCACTCCGGAGAGTGAGAGGGGGGAGAGGACTTTTCACGAGTGATGATATTACTGCGCCGAGTCGAAGTGCTCCCAAGCACTTGCTGTGGTATTCCGCCATACATTATCCACTTTACACGCTTAGAAAAGTGCAACGTTTTATTTTGTGTCACCGTTCTTGGTCGAGTTACACTACTCGTGTAAGGGTATTTAAATAGGAAAAACATGGAGGTGTTTGGTCGCTTCTCTGCTTGGATCCTAATGAACTGGGCTAGTTAAGTGCGATCAAAGTGTCTCGCGCGCCAAAGCGACTGAGACGAGAGAGGTATGTATCAACTCGTCTTATAGTTAAGGGAAATAACATAGTTTAATATGAAAAAACGGTGGATTATCCCTTTAACAAAGTTAAATTGAAGGTCTGTTTGAAAGATGCAGGCTACTGAATGTTACTTCATCAGTAGGCGGGTATTGTTGTCTCCAAGCAACAACCTGCAAGAAATAAAAGTGGCTTAATAAAATCCCTTAATTCACTCAAAATGGAATATGAAATGTTTTTTAGTTCTTTCTAAGGAAATGCTTATTAATCTCACCTGACTAATGCAGCAGCAATAAGGCCTCCAGTAATGGGTCCCACCCAGTAGATCCAGTGGTGAGTCCAATAATTGTTCAGCACGGCAGGACCAAACACTCTTGCAGGGTTCAGACACGCACCAGAAACATCACCCCTGAAGCCCACATAATATGTTAATCTCCAGAGCATACACAGGAAATGATGTATAACATAAACAATGAACTCACCCTGCAAGCACGTTAATAATGACTGTGCAGCCCACCAAAAATGGAACCAAAAGACTCCTGCTCTTGGCATTAACTGCACCCAGTAAGACCACCAAGGCCACTAGACACGTCATGGCAATCTCTCCAAACAAAGCCTTCACAAAATGGTCATCAGCCTTGAGAACCGTGAACGCCGCACCTTGAGCTTTTGCATATTTCTCATTTGAGGTCATTCCCTAAAGAAATCCAAATCCATTGAGATGTGACTGATGAATTTAATGTTGCATGCAAAAATGTCTCAATGACGCATGTATCTCACCTTGGCCATGACTGCACCAAGTAAACCTCCGCTAAGCTGAGAGATCAGGTACGGTGCCACCATTTTTAGCTCCATTCCACCACAGAGGTAGACAGCTATGGTGAATGACGGATTGAAATGAGAACCACTGTGTCAAGGGAAAAGATCATTGCATTATTCATCAATAAGCAGATGCTTTTTATCCAAAGCAACTCCCAGGAAATTTTTACTGGCAGAAACCCCCTGAAGCAAACTGACCGGACTACATCAATCAAGCCACATCAACCCAAATCTGCAGGGTTTTCAAAGGGGGTTCCTGCGGTACTGCACTGGGTCGGTGGATATAAGAACACACACACACACACACATACATATATATATACAGTATTTACACATATACAAATTATATATGCAATTGTGTGTGTGTACGTATATATATATATATATATATATATATATAAAATATATAATATCAATTTAATATAAGACAAATGTATATATACACACGCATATAGCCTATATATATATATACACACACACACACCCACCCACACACAATTGGATATAAAATATAAATTATATATTTATATATATATATATATATATATACAAATATGACATTTATATTTTATATATACATTTAATATAAATATATAATTTGTAAATTACGTATTTTTAATAATTTATATGTGTTTTATTGGTAACAGTAAAATATATTTGGAATGTTCTACATGAAGAGAATGGATGAAATGTTCATAACATAATGATTAGCTTTGTTTGAATGTAAATCCTATCCATGAGAACAAAAATACATTTCTTCTCACCTGATCTCTGCCATACATGCAATCAGTACAGCCACTGCGAGACCATGAGCCAGCGCAGGCTGGAGTCTGCCGGCATCCTCCACGTTTTCAATCACAGACACACATCCGATGAACACAAAGAAGGTGGTCCCCACCAGCTCAGCTACACACGGCTGAAAGACCCGCTCAAACAGGTTCTGCTCTCTCGCGGTGTGTTGTCCCACCTTATCCATCAGAGCTTTCTCCAAGTTGTGAAGTTCCATTTAGTCTTCAGTCGTTCTTTCCGAGGCACTTATGACTCTCTGATAGTTGTGTCCTAACATCTTAAAGGCTGTCTACTCATCATTTAAATGTGAGTGTCAGAAAGCTAGCATTCAATTGCTCAATGACCTTTGAGGGCAATTGATGATTGAAAAGACTAATAATAAATGTAAAATGCTGACCAGAGGTAAAGAAAATAATAGTGAAGGAGATTAAAATGTAACATCTGTACTCAGCTAATTTAGACGTGCCTGGAACTATTTAGACGCCAGAAAGTTTAACCTGTGCTGCAGCATGTCCTGGTTACATGGATTACAAGGGAAACTAGCTCATGTTTAGAAAATTACCTGAAACAGTGACTTAATAATGGACTGAAATGTAATTTTCCCACCAAAAATACAAATGAAAAGGTTAAAGGTTAACCAAATAGTGGAGACTAAAAGTCATACTTCAACTATGTGATCACATTTACACACACACACACACACACACACACACACACACACACACACACATATATATATATATATATATATATTAGAGTTCAGATGCAAAAGCCTCTAAATGCCATTTGAAATTTTCTTCTAAAATGACCATTTTTGTATATTTAAGTTCAGTAATTTAACTTAAATGACAATTAATAGGTAATCTTCATCGCCATTTAAGTGAAATTACTGAACTTAAATATACAAGCTTGATAAAAATGATCTTTTTAGAAGAAAATTTCAAATGGCACTTAGAGGCTTTTGCATCTGAACTCTTCATATATATATATTACACGAAAACCCCATGAAAAGGCTAAAGCCCACTCAACACAACACAAAAGTCTAAGTTTAATAAATCAACTAATTCCAGTGCACTGAAACATTTGTGTCAGTATGTGACAAAATAAGTATGTCTGAATTCACATACTACTCGCCTACTTCTGGTGAGATTCTGAAGTGGGCATACGTATGCGATTTCAGACGCAGTCGTAGTGTTTGATTCTGGCCCAGATGGCATACTTCATGCACTTACGGTCTTGTGGACTTACAATGGCCAACAAGAAGTTCTCGGCTGCGTGCGAAATTGTATGAAAAGTACGTACTATTCTGTGTCTAATATGAATGTAATCTGGATTAACTACATTTGCCATGTTGTCATTATCATGTGATCTACCAGCATCAGTTGTGTCACTTCACTCATAAATTCTCTTCTGTGGCCTCATGGGATAGTAAAGTGTCCATCGTATGCACACTTCAGAAACTCACCGGAAGTAGTAGGTCATCCGGGTACTCTTTTATGAGTACAGTGATTTCAGACGTACTTCTATTGTCACATACTGTTTTTTGCCTACTATATAAGTAGGGAAGTATGCGATTTTGGATGCAACCATTGCTCCCTGTTTTTTTCTGACAGCCCGTAAAATGTCAGACTCCCTTATTACCTACTGAAGTAGTCAGCTGATTGAGACGCACCCTGAGTTTTGCACCCCTACCGTGTCTCATTTGTCATTTTAAGGTTTCAGAAGGGTGCTCATAAGCTTTGCGGTCACCCTCGATGCACACTTTTGCCGAGCCCGGAGAAGACTTCTACCCAACAGTCAAAGCGGCATTACGGGCTGCATCCAAAATCACATACTTCCCTTGTAAGTAGGCTAAAAACAGTATGTGACAAAAGAAATATGCCTGAATTCACACTGAAAGAGTGAAAAAAGTACCCGGATGAACTTTTTCTTCCGGTGAGATACTGAAGTGTGCATCTGATAGACACTTTACTATCCCATGAGGCCACAGGAGAGGATTTGTGAATGGCAGTGAAGCAACACAACTGACTCTGGTGGGTCACATGATAATGATAACATGGCAAATGTAGGATCCTAGTACACACATTCGACATTCATACCATAGAACATACTTTTTTGGCGGTAAGTGGTCGGTTAGTAATTACTTATTATGCATGTACGTATATGAGATCCTAGATTTTATGAGGTCCTAGATTTTATGCTCAATCTGCACCATTGGTAGGCTAGCCTATGATATTATTTAAAACAATGGATCAACTTTTAAATATTTAATATTGGGTTTTTAGTACGTTTAACTTAAAATTGAATTTGACCATGTGCTACGTAGATTTATGAAAACAACTGCAAATGTGAAATTTATTAGCTTTATCAGCTATTCCGCTTTGGACTGAGGATGGCGCTATTGCAGAGGAAAATAAATAATGTGACTTCATTACAATCCATGTCCTTAAAGGGGTGAATTTTATTTGCATTTTACAATTACACTTTTTGTGCAATAAACAAACTCAAGTTATCATTAATCTCGATTATCATTTGGTTATATGAACCAGAGTTTTAACCATCCAGTTTAATCAGACCTCTTCAGTCAAGGTGTCATGTGTCACTGTGCTCCACAATAGGGAAGTGAACTGCTCTTCCTATTTCCTCAGTGTTACTGCAGTCCACTGACTAAACCAGAAATTGAGAGGATGAGAAACGAAAGCAACACGCTTGACGCACGGTGTATAAATGAATACGAGCAGTAAATGACACAAATTTTCAATTTCGGATCCAGTTGAGCGCGCGCAATGGGAGCGTCGCGCTTGCGGGCGTCAGTTTGATAAAACAACGACTTCTCAAAGTTGTATGTTGGTGGATAAAGAAGAATCAAGATGAAGAAGCAGTTTAACCGCATGAAACAGCTCGCCAACCAGACTGTTGGGAGGTTAGTGTGTTATACACGGATTATTGTGAATATGTCTACTCTGATTCGTGTAAAAATACACACTTCAGTTGGGAGTGTCATGTATTCGCGACGCGTGCACAGAGCAAATGGAAGGTCTGATGTGGTCAAAGTTATAAACTACACATGCTGTTTGGTAATACAATTATTTTCCATCGATTAAACAGTTTAACAGTGTAGAAGTTTGGATTGTTGTCTCCCATGTACAGTTCATTGCAGAAGTGAGATTGAGACATTTTGGGCTTCTGTATTTTACGGGCATTTCTCTATTGGGATCATCAACTATTTGACTGAAATAATACATGCAAATATGTGAACTGTATATATATAAATAAATAATCTTCATATCGGCGGTAGGATAATTATGTATACCTCTCTGTAGCAGTTATTAAGGGCGATTAGTAGGCTAATATATAAATTAGTTCTGTGATTTTGCTCATTCAGCAATTTGGGATGCGCCATTATATTGAAAAACTAACAGTACTTATTTTCATTCTATGAACAATATAAAAATACTTGGCTATTTGTTGCTTACTTTATTCCTTTGTCAATTTTAAAATAATGAATGAAGGCATCACAACATAATGTACAGTATAAAATATGGATTTAAAATGAGTAGATAATAAGAAAGTTAAGATGAGATGGTTCCTGTGGGAAAGGTTGGGACCATAATTAAAGGCATTCACTCTTAAAGTCACCATTAAATCAAACTTGACAGTTGTTTATTTATGGACTGTAGCAGTATAAATGTTTTATCTGTGCATGCCATAATTATTATTTATTTAATTCAAGTGCCCTCGTCGTAACCTTTTGTCAAAATAACTTCCCTCCATCCATCTCTCCTCTGATGATGTGTTTACTGGCGAGAGGGTGGGGTCGACCTGTCACTCACACAAGATCAACCAACAAACATCCAATCAATTCCCCAAAGGACTAAATCAAGTCCCGTCCTACATTTGTTCTTGTTTGAGAAGCAGTTTGATAAACTTCACAATAGGGAACTTCCATTTCATTCCGACTTTACATTAACATTTGCATTTTTTATCTAATATCAAAAAGTAGTTGTAAATGAGTGCTCTTAATCAAATTAAATATAGTTAAATATTATATTTTATTATATACAGTTAATAACCCTGCACCAAGCTCAAGTGGAAACATAACTGGAACTGTTCGTTCAGCCTGATGGTGGAAAAGCAGCTATTGATAACCAATGTTTTATAGTTGTTGTGCATCCCTTGCAATAATAAATAGCAAATTGAGGTTTGCAGTTTTGTGTTGAAAGTAGTTGCCAGAGCATTTTGACCTGGTTCCTAAGGGTTTCTGCTACATGGTTACTTACTGTTGTTTGCCCTTTTACTGCACACAGAAGCGTTCTGTTGATCTCTGCAGATCACGAGAAAAAAACTCACTCAGAAACTCTAAGAGGAACTTTGAGTTGTCTTGGTTTCCCGGCTGAGATTTTTTCAAGTGCCTGTCAGAGAATGACCGAAGTTGCATGCCATTGGATATTTACTTGTACAGGGGGTGAAAGGGTTATGTTAGGTCAAAATATCTTAGAGGCTTTTCCTAATGTTCACATTGAGCTTTTTTGCATAAACATTGACATTTGCATATTGTTTTTGCCAAGACATTGTTTTAGATTCACTCTTTATCTCATAGTTAAACATCCCAGGCAGCTGGTAGATTCATCACTCGCTTGTCACAATCTATCAGAGCGTTTGATGCAGAATGCAGATCCGGGGTAATCCAGAGTCGGAGGTATAATTGTCGGGCCAGCTTTCATGGCGGCTTTCCAGGCCAGAGAGACGCCACGTTTCGATACAGTCGGTTAGGTTACGGCTCCAGTTAGTTTGGCCTCTGCTGCAAAGGATACACTGTCAGAGATTTTACAATGATTGAAATGCATTGGAATTGCTCTGTTTTCTGTGATATATAAAGTCTTTGATATTTATTTTAACTTTTAGTCATTGTTATAGTAGGAGATTTCCTGCGTTTTTATTGAGACAAACAAAACTTGCATTGAGAAAAACAGAAACTTGCAAAAATCTAGATTTTGTTTCAGATGCAAATCAGAAATGGCTTAAAAAACTGCATCCAAAACATAATCTGATGACAATCCGTTTCTAATTTCTAAAACTCGGTAATTTCTTGCTAATTTGGTATTTCTGAATGTACTGTATAATTGTTTAAATGCTTTAAGATGTTGGTGCAGAAAGCAAGGCTCTACTTATCAAAACTGTCCATTTAGATACAGAATACGTGTGCTTTTTAAACATGCTGATGAACATTGAATTTCCTTCTTTTCCTGAAACCAAAAACAGATGTTCAACGAGCTGGTCGAATGAAAATCATGGCAAAAGTCACTCTCTCTAAAGCTTTATTATATGTCATTGAACAGTCGTTCAAAGTGTTCTGCTCTTCAATAATGCTCTCAAAACGTTAGAAAAAACAACAACATTTACACCATGTTCATGGAAAAAAAACAAACTGAAGCCTTTTATTTTTACGTCTATCTAACGATTTTGTTTCAGAATGTTCAGAGAACTTTCAAAAGTAACATTCCCATTCAAAAAATATTGTTTTCATAACTTATCGGGAACACAAACCATTCTTAGGGGTACTTTTACAAAACAACGATGTACTAAAAATGGAAACGTTTTTCCTTAGCGTTTTTCACGTAAAAACGCTGTATTGCTCATCCCAGGCCAGTAGTTGGTGATGTAAAGAATCACTAGACTGAACATGTAATACGCATGCGCGTGACGTCACCGTTTTCACGGTATCATTTTCAAAACTTGCACTTTGAAACCAGTTTTCAGGCCCCTAAAATGCAGTCGTTGTGTAAATGAGCGGCCAGAACACATTAAAAATTCTCAGGTTTTAGTTGTAAACGATGTCATGTAAATGACCCCTGAGAATATATTTTGCTAGCTGGGAGTGTCTCTAGGGCAAGCGTTTTTTAGTTTTGTTGGGTGACCAAATACCAACTAACAGAGACTTTAATCTTTTCAATTAAGCGTATTGCTTATTAAACCTCTTGTTTTGTTGGGTCAAAAGCTGCAACGGTCTGTTAGGGATAATGTAAGATTTCAGCTCCAGTGCAGTTGATCAGATGCTATATTCTACTTCAATATGATCACAGAATACATTACATATTATGATTCAGTTCGCCTTGTACGAATCAATTACTTAGAGATATATTTACAGACTTCCAAGATCAGTCCTGTTCCTTAAAAGGGAATTTTGATGGGCTAAACAAGATCTTCATAGATCTTTATAATAGTGTCTAAACATGTTAGTTGGGTCCCGTTCTGCTGTATTGTGAACTTTGAATGTGTGTGAAATGTTAGCCGTGGTATTTCTGGAGGTGTATACCCAACCCGATATGCATCGGCTGAACACAACACAGGATCAATGCTAATTCAGTATTGATTGAAATCTAAAAATTCTCTCCCGCATAATGTGAGGTCATTCTCAGCCTGTGTACTGGGATCTTAGGGATATTTTCTTTTGTTACATGACCATTTTTTGTGGTTTTTATCTAAGTTTTCTGTGCTGAATGTGGGTTGCTCTCTTTTAGAAATTCAATTATGTCTGTGACATTTAATATTGATCTATTGAACCAAAAAAATCAGCATGTTGCCCTTGAGAAAGGTCCTTATACCCTGATGGATCTTTTTTGTGTCAGTTGGTGCCATCACATGAAAGTTGTAGACATAAATAACAGTTGCGCTGGAACTTGTGTGGTGTTACATATTCTATGCTATAAAAAAGATGAATGATTGTTTTTTTTTTTACTCTAGTTCTGACTGATCTTCACTGCTGGCTCTGCATTTTTGAAGGCTAGCCATATATATACCCGATTAACAGACAATTATTCATATTAATATTATTATTCAAGAAAGGGTTTCTTTTTATAACTGAAACTAAAACATTAAACATTAAGTAAAATATTCAGCTATTCCCCATTTTCATTTAGTTTAACTTGTACTAAAAACTAAACTGAAATAAAAATTAATACTATATATATATATATATATATATATATATATAAAAAATGACAAAAACACACAACAAAATTAAATTACTTAAACTTTAAGTTAAAATGGAAAACATGATTCAAAAATATTAACAAAAACTATTATCTCAGTGATACTCAATAAACTGATAATAATAAAAAAAACTTATTATTATTATTTAAATTAACTTGTGATAAGCCAAAAGGCAAAAAATAAAATAATAAGTAATATTAGGACTTTTTTTTATATATTGAATAAGACATTATATTTGTAAGTATTTTTTCTATTTTGAAGCATAAACCTCCAAAAATGTTGTTTGAGCAAAAAAAAAAAAAAAAAAAAGCAATTTATTGAACAAGTTATTTTTCAAGTAAATTTTTTTTTTTTTTTTTTAATTTTATGTTTAGGTATTTTTACTGGAAAGATTAAAGGCCTTTTCACCCAACGATATATAATGCTAACTATAACTTAGCGTCCACATCAGCAGACACTATCGCTCGGTTTAGCACGTACTGTGGTTTTGTTGTCTGCTGCTTTAAATGCGCGAGGACGGATTCTGATTGGCTGTCACTGGTTTTACCGTTCCAGCGTTTTTTACCGCTGGAGACAATCGTTCTAAAAGGGATTCCAATGATATAGTTTCTCTGTAGTCACGATTATAATTGTGATCTCTGCTATTCCTTTAAATTTAGAATGATGTTTAGATCTCAAAATAATTAGAAAATAACACAAATAACTGTTACACTTAACTTTTATAGAAATAAATGGAAATGCTGCCTGAAACTATCACTGATCATGCCATATGAACGTTCAGATTGTACAAAGTCAAACGTGGCATAATGTGTAATAGTTTTATGGTCTCTGGTCAAAGGGAGTCCCTACTCATTATTTATGAAGCCCCGCCCTCTTCTCCTGACAAGTGTGTGTATAAAAAATCATAAGCCCCGCCCCCTTTACTGCTGTTGCCATAACAAACAATGTGGAATGCAGAAAGCAGGAAGTGGATTTTTTTTTTCTAGTGAAATGTGCCAAATCAACCTTTTGTTGACACAGTTGAAAAAATAAATGATTTTCCATTTAGAATATTGAACTGCAATGGGTGTTGTGAATAATTTGTATTTTTACATTTGGAGTGAAGGCCTCAAGACTTATTCTTGTTTTGTTTTTTGTTTTGGCATCTTTTCATAGTGATACTGGCCTAACCTGCTTTCACAGTCAAGTCGAAGAACTTTAAAAAAAAGCATTGCTCGTTAAGTAGTCTGTTCTTATAAACAAACTTTTTCCTTTTTTTTGTCCACAGAGCAGAGAAGACAGAAGTACTGAGTGACGACCTTCTTATGGTGAATATTTTCTCCTTCCATGACTTTATCACAACCATGAAACACTGCACAGATCATCTAGCATTCCAGTGTCATGTTACTATTATTTGTATTTCATTATTTCATTTTATTATTTTATTTATTTATTTATTTTTACATTTTCAGCTTCCAATACACAAATACAACACCTAATACCAAATACATTTTTTAGTAATTTTGTTATGTGCTCTTGCCATGTTTTAGTTCTTGATTTTAGGTTTCATTTATTTTAATTAAATTTTTAGTTTTAGTTGGTAATTCAGTCAGAAAACATTTAGTGTAAAAGTCATTAAATGTTTCATCTAACTGTCACATTTTATTGTATTTCAGCATTATTCCAATTAACAAAAAAGCTTTTAGTTTTAGTTAACGATAATAATCCGGGAAGGGACTACTCTCTTACTTTGGCCAAATGTAGGCACTAAGCATTACTTTAGAAAGTAATAATTTGAGTATAATGTTTTATTTTACGGCTGTCTTTCTTGAATACCTGATTCTGATTGGTCAGTCGCCACATTGGCCGGTCAGATATTTTTGTAATAGGGCTGTCAAGCGATTAATCGCGATTAATCACATCCAAAATGCATCCAAGTTTGTGTTTACATAATATATGTGGGTGCACTGTATATAATTATTTTGTGTGTATATATTTAAATACACACACATGCACGTATATTTAAGAAAAAATATATAATTTTTATATAAAATATTTATATTTACACATCATATAATTATATATATAAAGCTATATACATGAACATATTTCTTAAATATATACAAGCATGTGTGTGTATTTATATATGTAAAATAATTATACACAGTGCACCCACATATATTATGTAAACACAAACTTTTATTTTGGATGCGATTAATCACGATTAATCGTTTAACAGCCCTATTTTGTAATAATTAACCATTGTCTCTAGCACGTCATTTGATGTCTCTCATGTCACTCCACAGACTTTTTTCTCACATATAATCTCAAATCAATATTTATGTATTGGTATTTTAATATTTATGTCCATTTGTTTATTTATTCGGTGAGTTGTTGTGCAATACAGTGGCAAAACAAATGCTTTTGGAGTATATTTTGCGATATAGACCAACTGACTGTACATTATCCTTTACATATCTTCTGTATGTATTCATATGATATCAATATTGAACGTATATGACTGATAGCTTGCATGACATTAGCTCTTGTTCGGTGTTAATGGGCGGATTCTCAGCGTGGCTGCCTTTTGTTTTCAGTTATAGAAATAGTATCTGAGTTGAACTTTGATCCTTAACATTCATCATCTTCTTTCCCACAATCTCTCATGCTTCACACCCCTCCGACTCCTTTTTTTCTGGCATCTTTCAGATAGCAGAAAAGCAACCGAGACTAATTGATCTTATTTACTCATTTCTAACATCACAAGGGCCATGTTTGCACGAGTATGGCTGTTATGAACAAAAAGTAGCCTGAAATAGCTTGAAAAGACTAAAGCGCTAGCAGGTCGATGCAAGTCATTATGATTTTAATTTCAGCCATAATCTTCCAAAGCAAACCCTCACTCTAAAAACAAAACTAATCAGTCTAATCTGTCACTACCTCATTGTGTAAAAAGCATCTCATGCTCAGACATGTCTAAACTAAAAGGGAAATCATTGAGACTCGACGGACTCTCGCCAGAGCTTTATATGCTGCTCCCTCACCTTCATTCATGCATTCCATGTCCAAGGGTCAAAGTTTAACTGCCTGATTGCTCTGCGTCTTGCAGGAGGGAAAAGGAACATGATAATGGGCCATAAACTCCCTCTCGAAATGACTCAGACGGAGTGGTTTGGAATGTGTTCTGGGTTTTGAAGGTCTGCCAGATTAAAAGGCAGTGGTGTTGGCAGACACTGTTAGAGCTGCTTTCCCTGGCTGTGGTTGGAGTTCTTGAGATCCAGCGTCGGAGAGTAACACTACAAACTGACTGCTCCATATTTTTCAGTAGCTGGTTTCAAAATGAGCTGCTTTTTTCGACCAAAGTTAGCAATGTAGCTTCACTAAACGCTGTTTTTATGACGCATCATATTGCATAGATAGCTCTACAACGGAGAGTACTGAAGCAATAATCATACACCCTCCTAAGTATATATTTTCTCTCTTATATAGTATTGGAAAGTCCCTTTTCACTTTTGTTTGGATGATTTGTGTAATTGAACTGGTCTAAAAAAGAGAAATTTACTAAAAAATGAACTGGCCTCTGCTTTGCATTTTATGTCTTGTTTTGTAGCTAAATGTTTTTAAAGGCCCCTTTTACAAGTTTATAATTTTGTTTATGGGGTCTACTACTAGAATAAGTTTACATTTAATGTTAAAAAAAACGTGTTCTTTTTCTTATAATTTGCATTGTTGCGGCACCTGTTTTCACCCTTTGACTAAACCCTCTGTTTTAGTTTCGATTTCTTTAAAGCTACACTGTTTAACTCTTTTAGTTTATTCTTAGCTAAAAACACTTAGTTCTTTCAAAAATATATGTGCTCATTAATGTATATTTACTTCGTTCAAGTAATAAAGTATTCTCGTGAGTGTATAATATGCCATTGAAAATACATACGGGTAAGGGGTTCTAATGTCGTTCGCCATGTTGCCCCTCCATCTTGAAAGTACATTAGCCAAAGAGGGACATACCCGTTAATTTAAGCTTCGCCTTTCGCGTTTACGTTTGAGTTAACACTCATGGACGAGGTCGAACTGGAAGCCATGTTTATCTTGGACTACATTGGCCACCGTAGGAGTTAAAACGAAATCGGAATTGAGAGGAACAGAAATTAATATTCACTGCACTGTAAAAAAATATTTTCAAGATTTGTTATCACAACATATTTTCTTTTGTCAAATCAACTTCAATAAGTTATTTAGTTGAGATAACTTATTATTTTGAGTTTCTGATGATTAAATTAATCTCCTTCATTGTATTAACTCACTTTTTCCAGTTCAATCAACTTAAAATTTTAAGGCAACCAGGTTACTTACTTTTTAAAGTTAAACCAACAATATTTTTTTACAGTGTGGATGGTCATATACCTTTTCACCGCTAGATGGGGGTAAAAATCACACTGTGTAGCTTTAAAGCCCGCCTTCCGACAAGTGCATTGTGCTCTGATTGGTCAGCCAGCCCCAGTCTGTTGTGATTGGTCTACCGCTTAGAGCTTGTCGGAAACAAGTGGGTAATCCATCAGCCGGAAGTTGAAGCCTTGCGGGAGCCGCCATTGTAGAACATAGCATCCCATTGACTCCCATTCATTTTGGAGTCACTTTGACAGCAAATAACTTTACATCTGAGGCGTTTAAAGACTCCATTTGTCCATTATTTATTTATAAAGAAACACAACAATGTATAAAATGCTCCATTACTTTGTCTCTTAGGTTACGGCCCCGTAGAAGCCGTTTTTTTGTAAAAATAGGCTAAAGATTGCGTCATAACCACGGGACTTTCTGTCGCACAATAGAGACATTACCGTATAGACTGGAGGAGAAGCTCACAGACAGTCTTTCACTGTCTATGATGCAATCGGGGGGACATGAAGGCATAAAGTCAAGGGAGAAGCCATAAAAGTAATGGGACAAAATATTTCAACAACGTTTTTGAGGAATTAGGCGACTCAGATTTGTCCGCGCACAGCTACTAGAAGATTTTCAACTGTCAGACTGTCGTCACGCTCAGTTTGAGCCTGCGCAGTCGCTCCGACATCAGACAGGAAGTGCAATAATCGGGCTTCAGTCTTTTCCGTTGAAATCATCAGGGTCGCTGTGTCCATTTCTTTTACTGTCTATGGTCGGAAATGTAGCATTCCTGACCATAACCTGCAAGTATCATCTTTGCCAGCTTCCTGAGGCGCTATAAACACTATAACTAAAATATGGTGTCAGTTTTGAGCCAGAGTTCGATAATAACAATCTTAAACCACCTTGTATCTGTTAAATCACATTTATCTTTTAAATCACATGTATCTGTTAAATGTTAAATCTAAAGTGTCATCTATTATTGCAAAAAATAAGAGATCATTTATATCCGATTAAATATCATCTATTATTAGGGATAGGCATATACATTGTCCCCTTATAGCTTCAATGCGGTCATTAGGTTGCAGTGTATCCGACTACTCATTTAGCTTTGACTGTAGTTTAAATAATGAGCTGCTTGACAAACGGCCGTTTCAAAGTCTTTGAGGTCTTGAGTCACTCTCAGTACGTGTGTATCGACCCCTGCTGGGTGAGTTGCGGCCACAGGTCGGCGTGGCCTCGTCATCATTTCCTGTTTGTCTCGTTTTGCTTTGCTTGGAAATGTGGGTCTCGGATCTGAACATCTGTACCGCTGATCTTTTCCTCTTCGTTCTTCCCTTTTCCTCATTCCATTTACAAACCTGTATCTGAACACTGATAACTGGTTGATGGAAAATGAGTGGAATGTTACATTCAACATGCAATTTTTAGCAGAAACCATTTTTAAGACGTAGAAAAAAACGTTAATATTGTAAAATGTTATTACAATTTAAAATAACGGTTTTCCATTGTAATATATTCAAATGTAATTTATTCCTGACTGTGATGGTAAAGCTGAACTTTCAGCATCATTACTCCAGTCTTCAGTGTCTTCACATGATCCTTCAAAAATCATTTTAACATTTCTTATTATTGCAGATCTAAGTATTAAGTATCACTTACCCCTAAACTTTTTACCTATGTAGGTGTGTTTATGTAATTTTTTTCGAACATATTAAGAATAGTTAATGCAATAGGCATCATATTTTTTACGGCATTTATTTCTCTAGGTGTTTCTCATAAATATTCTATTGTTATTCTTTTTTTAATGAATGTTTATTCAGAATTCATTCAATTAAATACACTAGTTTATGTTAGCGTATAATTGTGTGTAATGAGGTAGTGATTAGATAATGTTAACTCGTACAACCTTATTGTAAAGTGTTACCAGAACATTGTTGTTTTCTCTGTCTGCATTACACACACTTTTCTGCGCTGTTGCAAGCTGCCCTGTACAAACTGTGACGGGATTGTGAAAACGGCTTTAAAGGGATAGTTCATTTTGAAATTAATTTTTGATATGTTTTAGCTTACCTCAGGGGCATCCAAGATGTAGGTGTCTTTGTTTCCACAGTATTTTCAGTTTTGATATTTTTAGGTCAAACCGTTCTTGTCTGTCAGTCATATAATGCAGGTCTATGGTCACCACCTCAAAGAGAATGCACAGAGAAGTCCAAATTAAACATGATTTAATGACTCGTAAATGTAAGTACACATTGATGGCCTAAGACATGAAACGAGCGGTATGTGAGAAAACAAACAGGATTTACATCGTTTTTACCTCTTGTAACCACAGTCACGTCCAAGTACTCCGAGGGCGAGAGCGCTTTTGTCTGCGCAAGCGCCAGAAAGCCCCGGAAGTGATCTCTCGAGCATGTACGTCACTCATTGTTTACACTCATTGAGATTTCAGAAGTGTTACCCTTCACTGTGAAGATCTAAACATATTTAGATATATACAGGAGATCGCAATGGAATACGATTTTCGATATATCAACAGACAACGTTGATTTTGCTTTTCGCAACCGCGCAAGGGATCACTTCCGGCGCTTTCCGATGCTTGCGCAGACCGAAGAAGTGGTTACAAGAGGTAAAAATTATATAAATACTGTTCGTTTTCTCACACAAACCGCTCGTTTCATGTCTTGGGCCATCAATGTGTACATTTACGAGTCATTAAATCATGTTTAATTTGGACTTCTCTGTGCATGCTCTTTGAGGTGGTGACCATAGACCTCCATTATATGAGTGACAGACAAGAACGGTTTGACCTAAAAATATCAAAATTGAAAATACTGTGGAAACAAAGACACCTATCCATCTTGGATGCCCTTGAGGTAAGCTAAAACATACCAAAAAATTATTTCAAAGTGCACTATCCCTTTAATTAGGTGCCCATGTTTGCAGCATAACGTGATTGGCATGATTCCTTTACTGAATGAGATGCTAAAATTGTGCGCAAAATAAACGGTGCAATTCTAGGTCTAAATATAGGTTGCATATATCTGTTCTTTTCGAGAGACTTCTGAATCGGGTGTCTTTGTGGTGAGCTTTTATTGAAATGAGTTTGAGTTGCAAACAGAAGCAGCATGACTGAGATGCTGAAAGGAGCAGTTATTATCTCACACGAAGGGTTTCACTTCCACCCCGACTGTCTGAAGTTATTTAAGGAACTGTCAGGCACATTTGAAGATTCACCTCTTATATATGCGAGAACAAGAGAAACGAGACAGTCTCTGCAAGAAAACACTCAGCCAGTTTGGCAGCTTTCTATTCCAGCTGTATGAAACCCGAATTAGTTCTGCCCGGTAACTGCTGAAGTTGCAAACCTTGATTCCTTTCTAGATCCAAATCAGCCAAATTTCCTGAAAACTTGCAAAAATATGTACAACTGGATGTGACAACTAGTCCTTATTGTGACGTATATCCTTGTGAAACCTCTTCTAAAATGAGATAAAATGATGGGCGGGGCTTGATTTGGTCCTTTGGGAATTGTTTGCTTGGTTGGGGTTTGCTATTGGTGGATCTCATGTGAGTGACAGGTTGAGAGAAGTCTCTGCAAAAGGGAGGGGAAGTTATTTTAATTAAAGATTATGAGGACACAAAAAAGGTCACTTATACTGCAATTTCCATAAAAACAAACGAGGATTGTCCATTTTGATTTCATGGTGACTTCAACGAAACTTCACTGGTTGGACAAACAGACTTATGCCATCGGTTGAGCTGACATTGGCTGATCGAGATGCTCAGATATTTCAATAGTTGCACAGTTTTTAAAATTTTCAGGAAATTCAACCTACAATTGGCTGACTTTTAGTTCTAGTCTCTTATAGTTCAAATTTAAAAATACACATCACCTCTGCACGGAGCTGCACAGAGGTGTGAACTGAAAATTCATTTGACAAGAGTTTTTCTCATATTGAAAGATGTAGGTAAACAGCCAGCTCTTCACTAAACTCCAGCCATTTGTATGTGTTAAAGTGCACACTTTGCTGGTGCAGTGCAGACTTTTTTCTTCCCTGGTTCCTCATGTTCACTGTAGCTTTAATTCTTTAACCATATTGTCCACTTTAAAAGCTTTTCCAATCCAGGCTCCGCTGTAGCCTCTGTTTATGACTGCAGGTCAAAAACATAAAGTGACGGCCAACTCAATGAAGAAACAACTAGAAAGCACAATTCTTCTGGAAATGACCAGAAAAAGTAGATGCATAAAAGATTTTTAAGTGCCCCTATTATGCTTTTTTAAAGGTTTCTAATTTGTTTTGGAGGTCTGCTACAATAGGTTTACATGCATCAGAGGTTAAAAACACTTTGATTTTTCATTATATAAATTGCAGCATAATCTCTTTTTTCAGTGTCTGAATTGGCCTGATAAAGGATTTAGTCTCACTAAACCCCTCCATCCCAAGAGCATACTCAGCTCTGATTGGTCAGATTTGTTGCACAGTCTTTTGTGATTGGTCTACTCTTCTCTGATTGATCAGATCTGTTGTGATTGGTCTACTCTGCTCTGATTGGTCAGATCTGTTGTGATTGGTCTACTCTGCTCTGATTGGTCAGATCTGTTGTGATTGGTCTACTCTGCTCTGATTGGTCAGATCTATTGTGATTGGTCTACTCTGCTCTGATTGGTCAGATCTGTTGTGATTGGTCTACTCTGCTCTGATTGGTCAGATGGCTCAGTCTGTTGTGATTGGTCTACTCTGCTCTGATTGGTCAGATCTGTTGTGATTGTTCTACTCTGCTCTGATTGGTCAGATGGTTCAGTCTGTTGTGATTGGTCTACTCTGCTCTGATTAGTCTGATCTCTTGTGATTAGTCTACTGCTTGCAGCATGTGTTGGAAGCGAAATGCCAATTAATTTCAATTCAGGATATTCCTCGGCACTTCATACATAGTTATATGAACTATTGAACTATAATTATTATATCAGTTTGAACGTCCTCAACCTTTGGAAGTGCAGCTTAGTGGACTTGCTTTTGAAGAAATCAGCATCTTCTTGACTCTCCCAGGTCTCAGCTACAACTACAGTGTTTGAAGGACAAAGTAGGCATTGTTTGCGGGCAGCCAAATACCATATGGTTGACATTATCTTTACAAAACGACATACAGTAGGTTCAAGCAAAAACTGAGGATGGAATGACTGACGACTGGTTTCAGGTAGTTCAGATTCGGTTCTTCCTTTTGGGAGATAATAACTCCATTTATTGTGCTGTTTGATTTTTGATACATTCACAAACAGCTACAGTATATTACACAACTACATGAATTGTAATATCTGAAAAAAGGATAACAGGGGCACTTAAATGGAATTAACACTTGTACTCAACAAGGGTGCATGAAATCAATTAAAAGTGACACTAAAGACATTAATATTACTAAAGATTCTGTTCTTTCTATTAAACGAATCCTGTGGAAAATATGAAGCAGAACAACTTTCAAAATTGATAATAGTCAGAAATGTTGCTTGAGCATCAAATCCTCATATTAGAATGATTTCTGAAGGATCATGTGAAGACTGGAGTAATGATGAAAATTCACCTCTGACATCACCAATTTGCCAGAATTACAGTCCAGATGAAATGAATGAACAGGCTTTTTGCACATTTATAAGAACAGGAAACTGAAGGGTGGTGGTGTACAAGACCCACAATTCTTTGCAAAGACTCAAGTGGTAAGCATTACAGGAAATTCAACAGGTGTGCATGTAACCATGATAATGGATCATTGTCGAATGGAACTTTGGGTGAGGGAACTGGGAACTACTGAAGTCCCAATACATTTTAAATTTGAATCCAATTTGTGCGTTAATACAGATTGAACGACGCTTGGAAAATATGCGATTGGTCTCCCATAATGCACACAAGAAGATGTCCATGTGTCTGCAGGGTAACCCGGGCACAGATGCGGAGAAGAGACATGTAAGTAAACAGCTGCTTTTTATATTTTCAAATGCCTCCATAGTACACACTTCTGAATTGTTTCTTTTTCCTCTTAGAAAAAGCTTCCTCTCACGGCCCTTTCACAATCCATGCTGGATGGAGGAAATCAGCTCGGAGACGAGTCTTTTATCGGGTGAGTTTATGAACTCTTTGACTGACAAAACCATCCGCCTGATCTGTGATTCAGACGAGAGAACTTTGAGTCATCTGTTTTTTCAGGCGTGCGGTTCATTTATGGTCACGATCTGTGAAAATACAGAGTGGAAACATCATGATTATCCAACAATATTTGTTATCCCAGTAAAATGCATAATAGTCTGGTGTGAAATGCTAAATTATTATTGTTCACGAGGGAAAATGTGACCTCATGCTGTTTGATTATGATTGGTTGATAGTGTTTTTAGCAAGAGTATATTGTTTGTGAATTATGCTAGATGTGTTTGGTATTATTATAAGGAATGTCTTACAACCAAGGGATATTTTTGATATTTTTGTCCATATCGCCCAGCCCTGTTATTTAGCTTGTTAATCCAAGCGACCAGGCAGCATGAAGTTAAGCATGTTTGTGTCTACAGGAAGATGATGGAAGTCTGTGGGGAAGCTGAAAACAAACTGGCCTTTGAGCAGAGCCAACATGAGGTTCAGCTGGAGAGAGATGTTCTAGACCCTCTCAACCTGCTAACAGAGGTGCATAACGCCAAAGACCTGCAAATAACCTGCTTTTTAAACAGGCAATGTAGGTTATATCTTTATGTTTGTGCTTGAAGGTGGAGATTCCTAACATCCTGAAGCAGAGGAAACATTTAGCCAAGCTTGTGTTGGATTTTGATTCTGCAAAAGCCAGGTGTGTATATACTACTGTCCAAAAGTTTGGGTTCAGTTTTTGTTTTGTTTTGATTAACACTTTTTATTCAGCAAGGATGCATTAAATTGATCACAAGCGACAGTAAATGCATGCATAATGGTATAAAATATTTCTATTTCAACTTTCTTTTAATTTTCTATTCATCAAAGAGTCCTGAAAAATTGTAACAAAAATAATAGTAAGCATTGATATTGATAGCAATATGATTATATTAAGAATATTTAGAATTGATGTTGAGAATAGTGCAAATGTCAGGTTCTGGAAGTAAAAAGAAAATTGATTTTGAACAATAACTTTTAATGATAAACCTTTAATACAGCCTTACTGTGAGGTACGAGGTTGTTAATCGATGGTATTTGCTTCTGCTGAAGCCGCCATCATGTATTATTTCAACTTAGTTTTAATCGTGTTTAACAGCGGAATTCGTGGTGAAAAACTACATTACCCATGATGCTGTACAGAAAATTACACCAATTAGAGAGTCGAAAAAAGAAACATATGCCAAAAGGGTTTGTTAGCTCCGCCTTCTCCCATGAACGACACACTACGTATGATGTAATTAAGTCAATCTCTCTACACTCTCAAAATACTAAAATATTTAAATGTATATATGCATATTTTGCAATAAGCTTAAAATATATTGTAATAATATGTATAATCAACATTTGTAAATGAGTAGTTTTATATTTCTCCATCGTTTTTAATTTGATTTCATGGGATTGTAGTTCTTTCGCTCAAATAAAGCTGTGAAGTACACAGTCTTGTACATTTTGTGTTTTTATCAGATTTTCGAATATGTTTTTGCGTCAGAGTTAAAATCAAAGAGTATGTTGAAATTCACCTTGTAGCTGATTGGCTTGGTTCATGGCCTATAACGCTTTAATGAAGACTTTCATGGAAACAATGCCAGAACCATCGTCGCTATAAATCTTGAGCATCAAATCATATTAAAAAATCAACATTAAAAAATCTTACAGACTCCAAACTTATGAATGGTAGTGTAAATGCATGATACTATAACCACACCAGCGTCTGCTGATCATCTTCCGGTTCTTTGAGACATTTGATGACATTGCAATGCAAATTGCTTGGAATAATAGAGAAAACTCTTTAAAACTCCTGTAATACAGGTATCACCAGGCCACAAAGGCTTTTCCTTCATCTGCAAATGCTCAAGCAATGACTGCCAAACTTGACATACTTAAGGAGGAGATGGATGAAGCTCAGAACAAAATGGAAATAGGCAAGGTATGGATACGAGTCTGATTTGATTGAGGTTTCTGGGTGACCTTAGGTAGCACACTGATCCTAGTCTGATCTTGTTTTGTCTTTAGGATCAACTAGCAGCTGAAATGTACAGCTTTTACTCCAAGGAAGGAGAATATGCCCGTTATTATGTGTTGGTAAGTCATTGAGCCTTGAACCGTCTTATGAAGTTATATGATATGAAAAATGATGTCTGATAAAGAATAATGAATTTAACTTGCAAATTTTTCAGTAAGAAGCTGGTCGAAGTTCATTGGTATCAAATACTAAATACTAGCTTCTCTGCTTCTCTACTAACAAAGACAGCGAGAAGCGTTTCAAAGATGGCCGGCGACTGAAATGTCTTACCTGACATTTGGCTTTTTTGTATTATTCATAGATGCTATGCTAGTAGTAAGCATGTCTAACCAGTAGGGTCAATTTAACTGTATAATATTTTACAGTATATAGCCAGTTAGTAGATTAAAGAGGCTTGTATTTGTCTTGACAGTTGTTAGAAGCTCAAGCTGAATACCACAGAAGAGCCTTGGCGTCCATCGAGAGCGTCCTGCCCGCCATACAGTCACAGCAAGGTGTGATATTTACTCTTCACTTCCTGGACAGAGCTTCTGCTGGAAAAATGTTTCATATGAATCACTCACAGCACCTATGAAATCATGGGCTTATTAAAGTGTTAGCTCACCCAAAAATAAAAATTGTCATTAATAATTCACCCTCATTGTCGTTCCAAACACATACAAATTTTTCGTTTAACTTCAGAAACTTCAGAGTGTATTATGTAGTGTTTTGTGTGCTGAAATCTTCTGTCACAAATTATAAACTAAAAGAGATATCTCACAAAATCTATCAAAAACATTTTCGCTAGTGAACATTTCACCCAAAAACAAGAAAAAAAGGAACAAAGAAAATTAATCTTTTTTGCATTGTGACATTATTGTCACAATAATATTAAGCACATTTTCCCCTTCAGATCTTATTAGTGTGATGCAAAATAACCTCACTGTCAATAGACATTTTAGAAATGAAAGGCAGTACCATATATATATATATATAAAGAATGCTTAAAATGTTGCATATTATATAATAATATTGTAAATTAATATGAATGTATTATATTGTCAATTTATTACTATATATTTTTCATATCACAGTAATTGAATAAAAGCCTGATTTAATTTATTTACAATATTTTGAATATGTCTGAGCCATTTTCACTCTTAAATAGCTTATATTCCCTATACAAAGTAATTAAAGTAAGTAAATTCCCTTTTTTGCATTTGTGACATTTATTTTCATGACAATTATGCACATTTCCCCCCCCCAAATTCTTATTGTCATTTGTTTTCGACATTTCACTTTTGATTGAATTGTTTTAGTTGTAATTTTTCACAATGATTATTGTCATTACAGTATGTATTCTCATATTGAAAACAAATCAGCTTTAACTGCACTGGCTGTAATTTATGTTGAAATACTGTATCGTATATTTAATTTATAATTAGAATTATTAATAATTTATTTTTTTTACATTACCATAATGAGAATACAATACAAATAGAAAGACAGATTTTCTTTTGATTTTGAGGTGAAATTGGACCCAGACATGTTCTTGACTGCTTTTATGATATGCACCCAACGATCTGGCTAGTCATCATCTATGAATCATTTTTTCTCTTTCAAAGCTTCCTTTTGGCCGGCACTATAATGTATCCTGTTTCACTCTGCAAATCATCCTGTCTAACAGAATCTGTGTTACACACCTAGTGATGATTCTTAAATGTATCCTGCCATAACTCAAATCATTCTCACTCTGTCTTGTGATCTGGCGTAGATAAATGGACAGAGAAGCCAGCGTTTGGCACAGCTCTGGAGGAACATCTGAAGCGCACCGGCAGAGAGATCGCTCTGCCCATAGAGGCCTGCGTCATGATGCTGCTGGAGACCGGCATGCAAGAAGAGGTATCTCACACTGTCAAACAACACCTGGGAACCGACAGATCACATGACATGAAGCTTGTCTTCCTGAGAGGAAGTTGATGCACATTACTGCACACACAGTGGCAAAGAGTGGTCATTTTCAGGCTAAATCTTTCTGCCTTTCAAATATTTAGCAAAGGGCTCTTTAATCAGGACCAGTTTTACCCTGATAGACAGACAGAGAGAGAGAGAAAGAGAGAGAGAGCAGTATATCTGTGTTACAGAAGTCTACTTGTTCACTTCTGCTTCTTGTCCAAACACAGGCTAATAATAGTAGTGAAAGGAGACAGTCGTTTCCCTGTGAAACCATCACTAACACATAAGAAAACTGTGTTTTCAGTCATTTTCACATACAAGCAAATCGGTTTATATTTCACTGTTCGCTGCTAAGGTCTTGTGCGTTTACAACATTTGCTTTCATGCCAGGGTTTGTTCCGTATCGCTGCTGGAGCCTCGAAACTGAAGAAGTTGAAGGCGGCACTGGACTGTTCCACTTCCCAACTGGAGGAGTTTTACTCTGACCCTCACGCTGTTGCTGGTACATGCTGTTGTTCGTTAATGAAATTGCTGCTTGCTAGCTACAGAGCTAAAATGTCATTTCTGCATTTGGAAGGACTTCCCAAAATGAAAACGAGACTTGATTTGTTTTATTTTTAACCATGCTTGGTTCTATTACGGATTGCAAAAAGAGGATATTAGCACTGGGCTATTTTGAAACCTGAAACTTTTCATATCTGTCACCTAGTGCTGGGTGGTTTGACCAAAAATTTAAATCGGTTTTTTTTTTTATATATATATATATAAATTAAGCTGGTTTTCTGGTTTATGATGATTTTTTGCCATGCATAATCAGGTGTTCAAAGCATTTCATAAAATTGTTATTTCTTAACATTCGAATAACATTCTTATAACCAGGAAATAACGTTAAAATACAACGTTTACAGAAGAATTGGACGTTCTAATGATGTTTGAATGATTTTCTTATAGCCAAGCAAGAACGTTAATACAACGTTTATATAACGGGAGAACTGAACGTTCTTATTACGTTTTGAATAACGTCCTTAGAAATAACGTTAATACAACATCTAAAAAAATGGATGTTTTGAATTGTTCCTATCAGAAATAACGTTTTTATAACTTAATGGGAACGTTATGAAAACGTTCTTATAACCTAAACTTGGAGAAGAGGGGAGATTCGCGATTGCACTGAACACGTTTTATGTGCAGGATTCTCTGAGTGAGCCCAGAGAAAATAGACCTATTCTTATGCGTGTCTCTGAGAGCAGAGCGATTCGCGCTTGCGCATTATATTAAAGTCCCTGTAAAGGCAATTCTACAAAAAAGTTCTAAACACATTATAAATGTTACATATGTATTGCTAAAACATATTACAAAGACTGTGAACTGTGAAGTACTGAAATGTGGAGTTAGACCGTTAAACAGTTTTTCACCGTTGCAATTTTACGGATTGTTTGGGCGGGGCTAAAACAGGGCTCAATGACGCACTGGAGCCCATGAGCTCCTGGACACGCACTGAGTCTGATCTCTCCCAACACACAATAACATAATTTAAATTCCATAAAAACGATCACATCAAGAAGAGGTTTTTAGAGAACCAACCTTGATGAAGAACTGAGGATCACCGTCAACACCCGCCTCTGAAGTGATCATTTTACACTGGATAGTTTTATAAACTTTCCTCAGAGACAACTGGGATTCACTGATAATCCGCTGTTACTGGTGAACGGGGCCGAAACGACTATCTTCCGCCTCAGCGTTCATCCTCCCGTCCCGAAAGCAGTATCAGCTATATCACCGTCGACAGCTTTCCCGCTAGTGGGCGTGGTTTCAGCACAGCGTTTGAGAACAGAGATAACTGCTCATTTTTTCAAGATTTTGATAGCTTATTTTATGTACTTGCCGGCTTTTTTATCATTCAAATTTGGCTGGGTGGCTAATAACACATTTTTCTGTGGTGTGACAAACTCAGAACACATACTTAAAGGTTCTCAAAGCGATCCTGGGTGTTGACGTTCGAATATTTTCAAACAAATCGGAGCTAGACCCTCCCTCCTCCGCATCTCATCTCCTCCCCCTCCCTTCCGTGCTTCCTGAAATAATTGTGAACGTGCATAGTTCTAGCTAATTATATCCTTGTGTGGGTTTGACGAACATAAGCGTCAATTTAGAAGAAAAAAAACAATTTAACGTTACCCACCTGTCCAGCAAAAACAGAGCAACCTGAATGTCTGACTGGAAGCCTTTCTGCCGCCGGAGTTCTCGCCATCGTTCAAAAGCTTTGCTACCGATGTAAATTCGTAACTTCGCACATTCTTTATCCGACTCCTTCTTCTTTTTAATTCGTTCCTCAGAACGACGTCTCTTTGTTTGTCGTGTGTCGGTCATTTTTCAAACTTCCCTCTGATGCTTCGCTGCTCTCCTTCACACACACACCCTTCATGTGCACGCGCACTAACCCCCCAGACCCACCCTCAAATACTTCTTGCCAGTGATTGGCTGGAACACTGTTTGTTTGGTTTCGTGGTCCGGGTAAGACATGATTGTTTTTGTTGCCGTTTGTGGAGCCTGTGGTGTCTACAGAGACTGCGTTTTTTTACAGTGTGTTTAGGGGACAGGCAGCTAGCCGATAGTGAGGAGACGTTTGATGTATGTGACAAAAAATGTTTTGGCCCCACATCGCTTAGAGAACCTTTAATTTTGACTTTACAGGGACTTTAATGTACTTTCGAGCTACAATAGTGCGCTCTCGACATTTGACAGGAAAATAACGCCATAGTTCTGCAGCATCCACCTTCCCTGTAACGTAACACCAGAGCACTGCTGTATGCCAGAGACAATTTATATAGAAACATGCCACTTCTTAAATCCTAAATACAACTATATAGAGAAAACCCATAACGGCAAAGATGGCGGTTGTATGGCGCTTAGAAGTGCAACGTTGTAAAGGGTCCGTCTGAAACAGTGTTGCGCGGCGCAGCGAATGAAATACATCGGTATGGCAGTATATAAAAAAATTATATCATAACAAAAATATCCACCGGTTTTCGGTATGAACCGGTATACCACCCAGCACTACTGTCACCAGTGTTAAGAGTACAAAAAAGAGCGCAAGTCATGTTCAAACACAATCGAGGGCTTGCAAATGCATTTGATGTTGGGTTTCTTTTCTTATGATTATTTAGGAGCCCTCAAATCTTACCTGAGGGAGCTGCCTGAACCTCTGATGTCCTACCAGCTGTATGAAGAGTGGATTCAAGCCTCAAGGTAAAGCACATTCACACCAATGTCCATGACTACAGACCAAAATATAGTTGTTGTTTTTTAAGTGAATCTCAATTCAAATTCAATTCAAACTCTAAATCCTAAATAAAACGTCTATGAAATGCTCATGTGACACTGATTAAACAGTATGTGGATTTTAGAGTATTACAATTGATGAAGGTGTTTGAGATTTTAAACTTCGTTTTGTTGTGTGTATTCTCTCTCGTTTTTCTCTCGTCTGCAGTATTTCTGACTCTGATAAGAGGCTTCAGGCGCTGTGGGTGGTGTGTGACATGTTACCAAAGCCCAACAAAAACAATTTTAGGTCTGCTCGTCACTACACAAACTAACTTTTAGCATTGACCTTTAACAAACTCTTATGATCGTAACATGCTAATCCATGTCTGTGAAGGTACCTGATAAAGTTTCTTGCCAAGCTTGCTCTGGAAAGCGACATCAACAAGATGACTGCAAGCAACATCTCCATCGTACTCGGCCCCAATTTGCTGTGGGCCAAAACAGAGGGGTGAGATTCGCACCCAATACTTCCCAAATTGCATTGTTTTATATACAATTGTTAGGATTAAATGGCCTTTTTAATGCTTCTTGTGGAAAAGCTTGACATGTTAGAGTTTTGTTTTTCTCCTAGAAGCTTCGCTGAAATGGCAGCCACTACTTCCGTCCATGTCGTGTCAATAATAGAACTGATGATCAACCATTCAAGCTGGTTCTTTCCTGAAGGTGAGACTAATATTGACCGTAGCTTTGCTTTAAACCTAGTGAGCAGTGTTGTAGTCGAGACCGAGACCAGAGAGAGTCGAGTCCGAGTCAGGAGACGGTCGAGTCTGAGTCGAGACCGAGACCAGTGAGGGTTGATTACCTAATTTACTACAGTGGGTAAAAAGGCCACATAGTAGGTGGTGTTAAAAGTAATTTTATTACAATTTGTCATGTGCAGTTGCACACTAGAAAATCACCAATCACTGGGCGTGTCAATCAATTTAAAGAAATATTTTATTAACATATATTAATACACTGTAAAAAAATATTGATGGTTTAACTTAAAAAAGTAAGCAACCTGGTTGCCTTAAAATTTTAAGTTCATTGAACTGGAAAAAGTGAGTTAATTAAGATTAATTTAACCATCAGAAACTCAAAATTATATGTTATCTGAACTAAATCAATTATTTAAGTTGATTTGACAAAAGAAAAAAATGTTGTAAACATTGTAAAAAAATATTGTTGGTTTAACTTAAAAAAGTAAGTAACCTGGGTTGCCTTAAAATTTTAAGTTGATTGAACTGGGAAAAGTGAGTTAATACAATGAATTAGATTAATTTAACCATCAGAAACTCAAAATAATAAGTTATCTCAACTAAATAAATTATTATAAAGTTGATTTGACAAAAGAAAATAAAAGAAAAAATTTTCTGTGTGTATGTTGTGAAAACAAATCTGGAAAATATTTTTTACAGTGTAATCATGAAAAATATTTTGAATTGAACTCGAGTCCTAAAAAAAAAAAAATGTTCGAGTACGAGTCAATTCCGAGTCCAAATGCACACGAGTCCATGCCAAGACCAAGACCATTAAAATATGGTCTCGAGACCGAGTCCGAGACGAGTCCGAGTCTCGAGTACTACAACACTGCTAGTGAGAGTCTAGATCAGTGGTTCTCAACCAAGGGGGTCGGGGCTATTGGGGCCTAGAAGTCAGAAAGGTTAAAAACTGCTAGAATTTTATGCAGTTATTGTACTGACTTCTGGTGACTATTATTTTGAATTTAAAGGAGTCGTTCACTTTTTAAAAAAACTTTTGCTGATAATTTACTCAACCCCATGTCATCCAAGATGTCCACGTCTTTCTTTCTTCAGTCAAAAAGAATTTTTTTTTATTTTTTTTTATTTTTATGAAAACATTCCAGGATTTTCTCCATATAATGGACTTTATTGGGCATGAAACGGTTCAAGTTCCAAAAGACAGTTTCAGTGCAAACTGTTCAAAGGGCTTTAAACGATTCCAGACGATAAATAAGGGTCTTATCAAGCGAAATGATCGCTCATTTAAAAAATAAATAAAAAAGTTCAGCTCACTAGGGTTTAGATCTGAGCTTGTCCCCTTTAAGAAGTCATTACTTTCACTCAGTCATGGCTGTGTTTATTCATAGCCTTTGCTCTTTTGCTCTTCAGATGTGGACTTCAACGTTTCAGGCATGTTTTCCATGCCTGGGTGCCCGGGTACCCCTGACTCCGAAGCCGGATCCATAGACAGGAGACGCCCAGGCAGCCAGAGCTCGTTCGATTCTGACCCTCCCCGCAAAGACAGGTACAAGTCTCATCCTCGCGTTTACAGACACGACTCCAGCTCCACAGTAGTGTCCGCATCATATGTAGTGGCCAGTGAGTCCGTCACAGTCCAAGCAGACGGTCTGAGACCAGAGCTGGGGGCTGTTTAGACGTGTTCATTTCATATGACACATGCAATTATTTCTGTGCTTTTTCCTCATTTTTTTTTGTGTCTTGCTTTGCTTTTCTTTTTGTTTTAGTTTTTCTTTTGTCAATCGTTGCTTATTGTATGCTTTCTGAAATAAAATAAAAATGTATGCTCATAGCTATGTATAAACACATTATTGATATATTTCATGAACTGGGTGCCAAAGTTAGAGAAAAAGTCTCATTTTTGATGTGCTTTCCAAAACACTAATTCAGAATCTGTCGGAATAAAATGATTAAAAGGAATAAAAGGTTATTATTTGTATTTCAATAATTCCAATTCTAGTTATCCATTGAGTGTATAAGAAGAAAGTGTTCAGACCCGCTCTTATAAGCTTGGTATGTTCAGAATGAGTCAAACAGCTCCTGTCTTGTCCCGCAGGCGATCATACCAAAAAATTCAGAGCTTTAAAATGTGGATGTTCTTGTGCTTTAGGGGCAGGACAGGGGAGTGTCACAGCCGCTCGAAAAGAGATTTGACCGCTTCATTACTAAACTAAATTAATGTTAGTGTCATTTAAGTATATCTCTATACTAATATAGCTCTTCATATTTGAATTTTTCTGTTTTACCTAGTTTAATTTGTAGTCATTTTGCAATGCGCTTTTGTCATTTTTTCATTGTTTTGTTTATTACATTTTTAAATTGTTCTAGTTAACAATAACAACATTGAATAATGCTTCATTTTTTCACTATGGTATAAATCTTAGCATGCAAAAAAATTAAGCTAGGTTTTAAAATTTCATTTCAGGGGAAAATACTTAAATGTGTCAAAGTTTGTGTCATTTACTAATGTAAAAATACCTTATTTGTACAGTTTTTAGTAACACTTTACAATAAGCTACATTAGTTAATGTAATTACTAACACGACCTAACAATGAGCAATACATTTGTTACACTATTTTTAATTATTATTGTTTATTATTTTTCTTAATTAAAATACAGCTGTTCATTGTTTGTTCATGTTAGTGTATTAACTAATGTTAACAAATACAACCTTTGATTTTAATGACGTATTAGAAAATGTTGAAATTAATATTAACTAAGATTTAAAAATGTATTGTTTATTCTTATTTCATGTTAACTAATACTTTTTTTATTTAATTTTATTTAAGGATACAACATTCCATTGCATTGTGTGTACAGTATTGTACTATATGAAGAGTTCAGATGCAAAAGCCTCTAAATGCCATTTGAAATTTTCTTCTTTAATGATGATTTTTATCAAACTTGTATATTTAAGTTCAGTAATTTCACTTAAATAACAATTAATAGGTAATTATCATTGCCATTTAAGTGAAATAACTGAACTTAAATATACAAGTTTGATAAAAATTATCATTAAAGAAGAAAATTTCAAATGGCATTTAGAGGCTTTTGCATCTGAACTCTTCATATATTGGCTGTTTTGACATGAAATCAACCATTGTGGGTCTCCGGGCAACACAAAGTAGTGGCGATCCTAAATTAATCCATGTTTTTTGAACGAATTGGTTGAGTGAATGATTCAAATGACGTAGCCATAAAGACTTGTGTTGTTCCTAAATGAATCCATGTTTTTGAATAAATTGGTTGAGTGAATGATTCAAGTGACCTACTCATAGTCCTACTTAAAACTTACTGACAAAACCACGTAACTTATATTTATAATTAATTAATTTGATATATTTGTGAAAAATGAATATGTTGACAATGCGCTAAATTCTAAAACCAATTTAAAATCTCAACCATTCCCAATATCTCTCTCTGGTTGCTGTCCCAGTGGTCAGGTGGTGGTCCTGTCCTTCTCCTCCTTCCCTTCTGTGGAGACTAATACCCCACTGTCCCTCTCTAGTGTGAGTGTTTCATACTGTCTCCCCTCTTCCCTGTAGCACTGCTAACAAACAGCCGGAAATCACCCCTCGTAGAGCTGGCACAATAAATAAAAAGCAGCACTCCACGCCTAACTTCCAGCCCCCTCTCCCTCCCATTGACGCCGGGGGGGTTCCCGTGTTTGAGCCCTCCCCTCTGTCGCCCGGTGGCGGGGGTCTGGAGGCTGGGCAGGCGGGAGCTGTGGTGTCTCAGATGCAGCAGCCTTTAGCTCAGCAGAACCCTGCCACGGAGAACAGGTAAGGATTGGTGCGACCGTAAAGGCCTTCTACCTCACCATGCCATCCGCTGCCAGATGTCAGGAGCCGCCCGCCAAAATCTGTGTCTTGTGTGTGCACATCGTTTTGTGCCGCTGACTAGATTATTGCTTCAAAACGCTGCTTTAAAATCAATCGAATTGCCATCAATTGGGTACAATCAGAGAGGAAGGTTTGCAAACAATTTAAGATACCTGGGTTGTCATACACATTCACTCTGTTGTTTCTTTATTTGAAACGCTTTTAAAAATCAGAAACACTTGTACTTACACTTCTACACTTGGTCGAGACATTTTACCCTGGATTTATCCAGACAGTGTCGCCGCGGAAATAGGCCTAGGACAAAATTTGTATGGGTAACCCTCAGGCCCAAATAATAAGCTGTGTGAAGGGTTTCGCAAGAGGTTACAAGGTTTTCTCGGTCTGCTCCAAAAAAAATATTGTTCAATTATTAAGTAATTTAAAACTATATAAACAGTGTGTAAATGTGTATGAAAAAATATATATATATAGCTAAATGATGCTAATTAAATTACTAAAAATGAAATATATGAAGAGCTCTTTTCCAAAACGCTATAAATCCATTTCAATAGTTTTCAGGAAAACTACATTTTTTACCTAGACCCACACATTTTGTGAATATTCAAATTATCCTGTTTAAATGTTTTATTGGTTCAGTCTGAACATTTTGAACAATAATTATTAAATCAAACAACAATATTGTTAATGATAATTTAAAAGTTAATTTTATTTTTTTCCAAAACGCTATAAATCGAAATAAACCTCAAACAAATAGTACCAATTTCAACATATGCATGAAAAAAACAAATTATTAATACCAATTTCAACATATGCATGAAAAAAACGAATTATTAAAAATGATCAATATATGATAACGATATTCAAAAAAGGGATGGGCACCCCTCCAGCACATGCACACACACACAGGCTACAACATGTGAGCAAAGCGGAGCAGCATGACGCTTAAATATAAGTTAAAAAAAAACAAAAAAACAAAATAAACATTTCACATTTGTTTTTAATAATATTACATTACTTATTTTTATTATTTCATCCATGTTGAGTAGGCTATGAAAAGGGAATCGCATGAGATGAGTAAGATAGGATCAAAATTCAAAAGCTGCCCAATATCGGAAAATATTTGGAGTGCGTCAGACATGATTTTGACCACTTATTAAGTTTTGTTTTGTAGAAAGCTTGTAAATTTCGTTTCATATAAATTGTATCTTCATTTTAATAAATGTTTCATCGACAAATTGACTGGATTAATACATTAGAAGTAAATATCAGACAATATAATCAGGACACAGAGGCGCGCAGGTGAACCGGAGCGCGTCTCATAATATGAACCGAAACACCGCGACGCTTGCCTCACACAGGCCTGAGAACTAAGCTACAGAAAGCTTTAAATATCTACTTTTAAACAAAACAATTAAAAACTAAAATAAATTGGCAACTCTCTGCGTATGTAGGCTAATTCGAAGTATGCGTTTCTCTATGCGCGTTCACTGCGAAGATGGCGAGTAAGCATCATCAACTTTATCTGTGTTGCTGACACTGACAGAAAACACTAGTTTATTAATAAACAATTCAAATGTTTCATGCATAATCATTACTTTTGCCGGTTCTTTGTGGCAAGCTTTATGCATACGTTGAGATGCGGAATATGCAATTAAAAACGCTCATATGGTTTCTCTCCCATTTAATTAAATCAATATATGTGATTACTGATAATACAAATGGCTTAAATGATCTACTACTAGTCGACTAGAAAACTAGGACTCATTTTGAGGAATGAATGAACATAATAAACCTCTGTTCAGAGTGCCGCCGTGCTGGATTGTGTAGAGCGCTCATTGAATTTGAGGATTTATCGTGTTTAGGCTAAAAACAGGGCTGGCGCTTATCGTGGTTTGGAAAGAAACTGTATCTTGCTGTACATTTTAAACAAGGAAATATAGCGATTCGGCATGAAACGTTGATAGAGCAGTGAAAGGGTTCTGTCCGCAGCAGAATGACACGACAAACTCATTTTTTTAAAAAATGTCGTTTAACGCGTTTTGGAAAAGAGCTCTTCATATACAGTATACACACACACACACATAAAAAATAGTGTTAAATAATTAAATATTAAATTATGAATAAAGCATTATGTCATTTATTTTATTCAATTAAATTTATTCAATTTATTTTGTTCAAAATTGGTTATAATTTATTATTGTTTCCACCCAATATTTTATCCATAATGCTTTTAAAAGAAGTGTTTCCCCAACTTTTCAAATCAGAAGGATTCAAACAAAATGCAAGTCAAGCATGATTCTTCAAACCATCACAGTATTTCATCCTGGTCAGGGCAAAACTCTTCCGTCTTTCTCTCCATATCTTTTCTGTAGGATATTCTCAGTTGCTTGAGTTTGTGTGTCCTGCCTTGTCTTTCTCAATTGCTTATTCTTTCTATAGTGGAAAAGATGCACTGCATGCAGAAAAGACACTTCTAATTATGCTAACAGTTTTTCTTTATGGCAAAAGTATTAACTTTCCCATGCAAGTCATTAACTCAACTTGGACCACTACATGTTAATTCCCTGCATGTTAACTGATCTGTGTATACATACTGCTATGTAATCCCATGATACGAGTTTCTTGCTTTTCTTCCCTCCCCAGTAACATGACCCGAGAACCTGCGACCACACCTCCAGCCACGAGGAACGGACCGGGAGGTTCGAGTGGGACATCCGCTCAGCTGAATGTGGGGACCCCTACCTCAGGTCCCAAGGGCCCCAGTCCGTTCTTGGTGCGCAGAGGTGAGTCTTAATCACCCTTATCCCAGGTGGAAAACGTTTTGAACACGACATGGTCCCGTTCCTTTAGTAAAGCTGTGGTTTTTATCTCACGTTTGCTTTTTTTCACCTTAATAGTGTGTGGAAAATAATTCAAATGACCTAAAATGCATGTTGTTATTGTTTACCAAATCTGTCATTTCCAGTGGTGGAATGTAACGAAGTACAAATACTTTGTTACTTTACTTAAGTACATTTTTCACATATCTTTACTTTACTTAAGGAGAACAAATAGCGCATACTTTTTACTTTTACTTCGTTACATTTTGCAGCAATTATTATACTTTCTACTCCACTACATTTCTACAACTTCGGTTACATTTTCATTACATTTTCTGATCAGTTTTTCTACTGCCAAAACGTAATCTGACCGTCCGTCTGTTGCACGTTTGTCTCACCACGTTTGGTCGCCATAGAGCCTCCATTTTTGCACTCAGGTCTAAGTCTCATGGCCCTCTATCAGAATCCAGAGTTTCAAGAAGATTGGAGAAACTTATTTTTTCGCCCAAAAAATGCAAAAAAACGTAAGGGGTAACACTGTGGTTTTTTTTTCGGGTCGAATTTTTGAGTTTCGATATCTCAGCTCTGGAAGGGTCTAGAGCCTCCATTTTTGCACTCAGGTCTAAGTCTCATGGCCCTCTATCAGAATCCAGAGTTTCACGAAGATTGGAGAAACTTATTTTTTCGCCCAAAAAATGCAAAAAAACGTAAGGGAAACTTATTTTTTCGCCCAAAAAATGCAAAAAACTTAGAAACTTATTTTTTCGCCAAAAAAATGCAAAAAATACTGTCGTTTTTTTTTTCGGGTCGAATTTTTGAGTTTCGATATCTCAGCTCTGGAAGGGTCTAGAGCCTCCATTTTTGCACTCAGGTCTAAATCTCATGGCCCTCTATCAGAATCCAGAGTTTCAAGAAGATTGGAGAAACTTATTTTTTCACCCAAAAAATGCAAAAAACGTAAGGGGTAACACTGTCGTTTTTTTTCGGGTCGAATTTTTGAGTTTCGATATCTCAGCTCTGGAAGGGTCTAGAGCCTCCATTTTTGCACTCAGGTCTAAGTCTCATGGCCCTCTATCAGAATCCAGAGTTTCAAGAAGATTGGAGAAACTTATTTTTTCGCCCAAAAAATGCAAAAAACGTAAGGGGTAACACTGTCGTTTTTTTTTCGGGTCGAATTTTTGAGTTTCGATATCTCAGCTCTGGAAGGGTCTAGAGCCTCCATTTTTGCACTCAGGTCTAAGTCTCATGGCCCTCTATCAGAATCCAGAGTTTCAAGAAGATTGGAGAAACGTATTTTTTCGCCCAAAAAATGCAAAAAACGTAAGGGGTAACACTGTCGTTTTTTTTTCGGGTCGAATTTTTGAGTTTCGATATCTCAGCTCTGGAAGGGTCTAGAGCCTCCATTTTTGCACTCAGGTCTAAGTCCCATGGCCCTCTATCAGAATCCAGAGTTTCAAGAAGATTGGAGAAACTTATTTTTTCGCCCAAAAATGCAAAAAACGTAAGGGGTAACACTGTCGTTTTTTTTTTCGGGTCGAATTTTTGAGTTTCGATATCTCAGCTCTGGAAGGGTCTAGAGCCTCCATTTTTGCACTCAGGTCTAAGTCTCATGGCCCTCTATCAGAATCCAGAGTTTCAAGAAGATTGGAGAAACTTATTTTTTCGCCCAAAAAATGCAAAAAACGTAAGGGGTAACACTGTCGTTTTTTTTCGGGTCGAATTTTTGAGTTTCGATATCTCAGCTCTGGAAGGGTCTAGAGCCTCCATTTTTGCACTCAGGTCTAAGTCTCATGGCCCTCTATCAGAATCCAGAGTTTCAAGAAGATTGGAGAAACTTATTTTTTCGCCCAAAAAATGCAAAAAACGTAAGGGGTAACACTGTCGTTTTTTTTTTCGGTCGAATTTTTGAGTTTCGATATCTCAGCTCTGGAAGGGTCTAGAGCCTCCATTTTTGCACTCAGGTCTAAGTCTCATGGCCCTCTATCAGAATCCAGAGTTTCAAGAAGATTGGAGAAACTTATTTTTTCGCCCAAAAATGCAAAAAACGTAAGGGGTAACACTGTCGTTTTTTTTTTCGGGTCGAATTTTTGAGTTTCGATATCTCAGCTCTGGAAGGGTCTAGAGCCTCCATTTTTGCACTCAGGTCTAAGTCTCATGGCCCTCTATCAGAATCCAGAGTTTCAAGAAGATTGGAGAAACGTATTTTTTCGCCCAAAAAAATGCAAAAAACGTAAGGGGTAACACTGTCGTTTTTTTTTCGGGTCGAATTTTTGAGTTTCGATATCTCAGCTCTGGAAGGGTCTAGAGCCTCCATTTTTGCACTCAGGTCTAAGTCCCATGGCCCTCTATCAGAATCCAGAGTTTCAAGAAGATTGGAGAAACTTATTTTTTCGCCCAAAAAATGCAAAAAACGTAAGGGGTAACACTGTCGTTTTTTTTCGGGTCGAATTTTTGAGTTTCGATATCTCAGCTCTGGAAGGGTCTAGAGCCTCCATTTTTGCACTCAGGTCTAAGTCTCATGGCCCTCTATCAGAATCCAGAGTTTCAAGAAGATTGGAGAAACTTATTTTTCGCCCAAAAAATGCAAAAAACGTAAGGGGTAACACTGTCGTTTTTTTTTCGGGTCGAATTTTTGAGTTTCGATATCTCAGCTCTGGAAGGGTCTAGAGCCTCCATTTTTGCACTCAGGTCTAAGTCTCATGGCCCTCTATCAGAATCCAGAGTTTCAAGAAGATTGGAGAAACTATTTTTTCGCCAAAAAATGCAAAAAACGTAAGGGGTAACACTGTCGTTTTTTTTTCGGGTCGAATTTTTGAGTTTCGATATCTCAGCTCTGGAAGGGTCTAGAGCCTCCATTTTTGCACTCAGGTCTAAGTCTCATGGCCCTCTATCAGAATCCAGAGTTTCAAGAAGATTGGAGAAACTTAATTTTTTCGCCCAAAAAAAAAAAAACGTAAGGGGTAACACTGTCGTTTTTTTTTCGGGTCGAATTTTTGAGTTTCGATATCTCAGCTCTGGAAGGGTCTAGAGCCTCCATTTTTGCACTCAGGTCTAAGTCTCATGGCCTCTATCAGAATCCAGAGTTTCAGAAGATTGGAGAAACTTATTTTTTCGCCCAAAAAATGCAAAAAACGTAAGGGGTAACACTGTCGTTTTTTTTTTCGGGTCGAATTTTTGAGTTTCGATATCTCAGCTCTGGAAGGGTCTAGAGCCTCCATTTTTGCACTCAGGTCTAAGTCTCATGGCCCTCTATCAGAATCCAGAGTTTCAAGAAGATTGGAGAAACTTATTTTTTCGCCCAAAAAATGCAAAAACGTAAGGGGTAACACTGTCGTTTTTTTTTTTCGGGTCGAATTTTTGAGTTTCGATATCTCAGCTCTGGAAGGGTCTAGAGCCTCCATTTTTGCACTCAGGTCTAAGTCTCATGGCCCTCTATCAGAATCCAGAGTTTCAAGAAGATTGGAGAAACTTATTTTTTCGCCCAAAAAATGCAAAAAAACGTAAGGGGTAACACTGTCGTTTTTTTTTCGGGTCGAATTTTTGAGTTTCGATATCTCAGCTCTGGAAGGGTCTAGAGCCTCCATTTTTGCACTCAGGTCTAAGTCTCATGGCCCTCTATCAGAATCCAGAGTTTCAAGAAGATTGGAGAAACTTATTTTTTCGCCCAAAAAATGCAAAAAAACGTAAGGGGTAACACTGTCGTTTTTTTTTCGGGTCGAATTTTTGAGTTTCGATATCTCAGCTCTGGAAGGGTCTAGAGCCTCCATTTTTGCACTCAGGTCTAAGTCTCATGGCCCTCTATCAGAATCCAGAGTTTCAAGAAGATTGGAGAAACTTATTTTTTCGCCCAAAAAATGCAAAAAACGTAAGGGGTAACACTGTCGTTTTTTTTTTCGGGTCGAATTTTTGAGTTTCGATATCTCAGCTCTGGAAGGGTCTAGAGCCTCCATTTTTGCACTCAGGTCTAAGTCTCATGGCCCTCTATCAGAATCCAGAGTTTCAAGAAGATTGGAGAAACTTATTTTTTCGCCCAAAAAATGCAAAAAACGTAAGGGGTAACACTGTCGTTTTTTTTTCGGGTCGAATTTTTGAGTTTCGATATCTCAGCTCTGGAAGGGTCTAGAGCCTCCATTTTTGCACTCAGGTCTAAGTCTCATGGCCCTCTATCAGAATCCAGAGTTTCAAGAAGATTGGAGAAACTTATTTTTTCGCCCAAAAAATGCAAAAAACGTAAGGGGTAACACTGTCGTTTTTTTTTTCGGGTCGAATTTTTGAGTTTCGATATCTCAGCTCTGGAAGGGTCTAGAGCCTCCATTTTTGCACTCAGGTCTAAGTCTCATGGCCCTCTATCAGAATCCAGAGTTTCAAGAAGATTGGAGAAACGTATTTTTTCGCCCAAAAAAGTAAAAAACGTAAGGGGTAACACTGTCGTTTTTTTTTCGGGTCGAATTTTTGAGTTTCGATATCTCAGCTCTGGAAGGGTCTAGAGCCTCCATTTTTGCACTCAGGTCTAAGTCTCATGGCCCTCTATCAGAATCCAGAGTTTCAAGAAGATTGGAGAAACTTATTTTTTCGCCCAAAAAATGCAAAAAACGTAAGGGGTAACACTGTCGTTTTTTTTTTTCGGGTCGAATTTTTGAGTTTCGATATCTCAGCTCTGGAAGGGTCTAGAGCCTCCATTTTTGCACTCAGGTCTAAGTCTCATGGCCCTCTATCAGAATCCAGAGTTTCAAGAAGATTGGAGAAACTTATTTTTTCGCCCAAAAAATGCAAAAAACGTAAGGGGTAACACTGTCGTTTTTTTTTCGGGTCGAATTTTTGAGTTTCGATATCTCAGCTCTGGAAGGGTCTAGAGCCTCCATTTTTGCACTCAGGTCTAAGTCTCATGGCCCTCTATCAGAATCCAGAGTTTCAAGAAGATTGGAGAAACTTATTTTTTCGCCCAAAAAATGCAAAAAACGTAA